ATGAGAGAGAAATACAGGGTGATTTTATTCACATTTGGAAAATAAACAGACAAAACTAAACCAAAATAAACCCTGAAAACCTGACTGAGAATTGAAGTTATCAGAGGGGAAAGAGCTGGTGGTGAGGGGGGACCCAGTGACTATGGGAGAAGATTATTGGGGCTTTTGTGGTGGGTGTATTGTTGCAAAATACATCTGAAGAGTTGTGATTCTATACCCCTAAATCATACGCACTGTTGTAAACCAGTGCTATCTCAATAAAACATGATATAAAATAAAACAGAAAGGTTTCCTAGGAAAGCTTTCACACAGTGGGGAAACCTGTAAAGGGGAAAATACAGCCTGAATTCCAGTCATTCCAATGACAGAATATAGTCTATTTCATAAATTGGGCCTCTAGTGGTGCATTATTTAAGCTTGCATAGCTAACAGGTATATACTGATTATGAAAGTCAAGTATGAGTATATGGTATACTTTTTTTGATTTAAATAGTCTGTCTTTTTTAATTTAATAGTTAAATTTATAGAATTTAATTATATAAAGTCTACCCAATATAAATGTTTCGTTTTAATATAAATAATTTTTTAGGTAATTCTATTTTGAATATTTAAATTTAGGTAAATTGATTATATTAAAGAATGTAAAGACTACTATAGTTTATATTGTACTGAACATATTCACTAGTAAATACCATACAAACAGTATATTTTTTATTATTTATTTTAAAAAAATATTTATTTATTTATGCATACAAGAGCTGGGGTACAGCCAGAGGTGTAGGAGGTGAGAGGATTCACCAGAGACAGAGTGGGGAACAGAACAGGCAGATAGACTGAAGTACACTGCTGAGGGGAGCAGCGAGCAAGTCAAGAGAGGTCTGCGCCATGTGGGTTTAGCTCCCTGGCCGGCCAGGGATCAAACTCGTGCTGCAGAGGCTGCGGACTGCTTCATAGGTTGCGTCTTAACCCCTTGAGCCACCAGGGAGGCCCTATTTCTTTTTTTTTAAGATTTATTTATTTATACAAGAGCTGGGGTACTGGCCAGAGGCGCAAGAGGGTGAGAGAATTCACCAGAGACAGAGCAGGAAGTATAACAGGCAGACGACTGAAAACACTGCTGAGGGGAGCAGCGGGTGAGGCAGGAGAGGTCTGCCGCACCATGTAGGTATCTCCCTGGACGGCTGGGAATCAAACCTGTGCTGTAGAGGCTGCGGATACCTTCACAGTGCTGTAATCAATCCGCTGTGCCAGGGAGGCCCCAGTATATTTTTTAAAAGAAACTTTTTGGTGAGTTTAATCACATCTTAAAAATTATAATAAAAATGAAAAATAATACTTGATGTCTTATTTTTCAACGAAATGATACATACACAGCTGAAAACAAATAATCTCTGAAGAATACATGTTTGCTTGTAAATTGTTGAAGGGAAACTTAGATAGCAATGTTAACAGTACAATAAAGTTGTAAGTTATAGTACAATAAAAATTGTACTGTATTAATTTCAAACACCTAGAGCACTGGCAGGGATTGTGAGTCATCACAAGAGGTAGCTACTACTATTTTATAAATCAAGAAACTGAAACATATTGATATTAGGTGACTTAATGTAAATTATGTGGCTCTAAACCATGGATGGGTTAAGGGCCAGATACTATTTTGCTTTTAGTGCTTAAGATTTGGGTTGCCTCTACTCAATTCTGTTATTGTACTGTAAAATATCTATAGTCAATATGTAGATAAAGCATGGTTTTTGAATTACATGTAATTTTACTTGTCATGAAATAGTCTCTTGGATGTTTTAAACAATTTAAATATGGATATGTTTTCTTATATAATGCAATATATAAAAATAGGCATTTCTGTAGTCAAGTTTGTTCCTTAGGTAGTAGACTGCCAGACCTGCTCTTCAGGTATATTTTGGGGTACTACTTTGTTCTCTTTTGGATCTTTTACCCTGTACATTGTTGGGTTTTCTTTCAAGAGGACTGTTCAGGTGGATCTCTAAACATGTAGTTGATCCTTCACACTAGTCAATAGAAAACATAGCTTGTTTAAAACATGAAGTTTCTACTTCTACATATAATTTAGATTCTCCTCCTAGTGATTTGACTATTGCAAAATTATTTGTTGACATCTCTTTATCTTACTTTAAGAAAGAGCTTAGTAGACCATGATGTTTTTTCTTACTTACTCTGCATTTATTTTGCATGTTTTTTTCCCCTCATTTATTATCATGGAGTTGGGCCTTGTTATTCAGGTAGCTGTGAGGCATGAACAGATCTTTAATTTTGCTTTTCCTTTTATATTCACATAATGCAAACATTCTATAATTCTGTATATTTGGTTATCTATAAGGTTATGATCTGCATAGTGTTTTCTACATTTACTGTCATAACATATTTTATTTTTTTCTAAAACCCTTTGTATCTCTCCCTCCATCAACACAATTGATTGCCCTATCAGTCAATACCTGTATTCAATATAGTGACATAATCATAATCCTACTCCTTTTTACCTAGTGCAAATTTAACTGCCTCAGTATTTCAACATGTTATAAGAGATATGCAAAATTGTAGTACTGCAATAGTAGAGAAGAATCAGCTTTATATCATCTAGGCCAAATTCTTAAATGATATCATGTGACTAGATGTTGAGGAAGCAACAGAGTAAAAAATCTACAGATCCTGTAGGAGTTTTAGGGAAGTGAGAAAAGTTTGCTATGATTGGAAAGCATGGAATTTGTGGTAAAATGTATATGTGTGAGAAGTTCTGGATCAGACATGAAGGTTCTCATGTCATAAGGAATTTGAGTTTTCTCTTCTAGATCAGTGATTTCAAATACCTAAATAGAATAGAAGGGGAAAGTAAGTAATAAATAAGACAAGCAGACTGTGTTGGAGAAATAACAGAAGTGGATGAAGACTATCAAATAAAAAAGGGAAGTTCATGCTCTTTCTAAAGACAGTAGCTGCACAGCTTATTTTGCCACGATGAGATGCCAGGCTCTGTGTAACAGGGATTCTTGTTTTTCGGTAGCTCAGAGAAATCTAGAATCAATATGAAAGAATTCAGGTGTTAAGTGTTGACAAATAAGTAAAGTATTTTATCCAGAAGTATTTTATACAAAAGAATTATGTCAATGGAAGGTCTTTGCTTTAGATGGTACAATCCAAATACCAGTTTGGAAAGTCCATGTCAGATAATTTTGTGTTTGAGGAAGAGAGATGTGAATCAATGCCTTATTAATAGGCATATAGAAGATTCCAAGGTACATTGATGGGGATTTTTTTCATATTATTAATATTCAAATCACTGCAAAAGGGTTAATAATGAAAAAAGTAATTCTTCCCCCTATGCCTGACCCCTAGTTTGTTTGCCCTGTGCAAAGAATTGCTTTTACCAGTTTATTGGATATCTCTCTAGATAGTCTAATATCCATTGGTTATGCATGCCCTCTACACTCTCACTCCCACTACAAAAATTATAAAATTCATTCATATATATGCATATTCCCATATTTTCATTATATGTTCTTGTATTGGGTGTATTATAATTAATATTGAAAGTGGTAGACATTTAGTATATTTCCATTCTTTTCCTAAAAATCATCTGGATGCCCATGTGTATATTTGTGTATATTCAGAGGATTAAATTTTCCTATAAGTAGAACTGCTAAGTCATGGTATGTCATAAAATTTTTATGACAATTACTGTGCTGCCCTTAAAAGAGGAGGTAGTACCAGTTACCACCCACCAAGAGTTAGAGTCTATTTTTCTGCATTAAAGCCATCATAGGATACATCAATATTTTTATTTTTATAAGTGACAGGAGAAATGGTATTGTTCTTTGTAATTTTCACTCAAGTAGAGCACCTTTTCATATTTGAAAAAAATTTACTTGTGTTTTTCTTCTATGAAAGCATTCTTTTCCCCTATTTTTTAATCAAACTATTGACTTTAAAAATTATTTGTATAAGCTTTGTAATTAAGGAAATCAGCAAAGATTCATTTCTTCATGTCTCATTCTGCTTTGGACTGGTTTTATGGTTCTCTTTGGTCTGCTGACATTTAAATTTTATGTCAAATTTATAAAAATGTCAGCTTATACAGTATGTGTAGAGAGGTCCTTGTAATTATTATGTATTACTTAGGTCTTTTACATAATTTTTAGAACTATACCATTTCACAGTTACATTTATAGTTGGTATCCCTGTAGTTGGTATCTTCTAGTTGAATTAAAATTCAGATTTTGATTTATCATTTATGCTCCTTAAGATTGCCAAATAATTAATAATTTTATAGTTTTTCATGCTCATGATTAGAACATAGTATTTCTTCTTCTATGAGCTCATCAATAATTAAAGACACAATGTATTGAATGATAGTATTTTTGAAATAATTTACTTGGAAAGGAGAAACCACAACAATGGCAATCTCTCAAGAGTGGGATAATCTGTTAAGCCTAAAATTCAAGGGCCTGTTAGCCATTTATTAGATATGCAATTGGTGATTTTGTTAGAGAATAAATGTTGGCTGTGAGTTTCATGGTGACTTTTACTTAACTGTCTTATATTTTTGTGTCAATTATATACACTCCTTATCTCCCTTTGAAAAATTGGATTTTGAATTTTCTCCGAGTTCCAATTTACTAGGTAAAAGTTGACTATGTGTTCATTTTACATCATCTTGACATATGTAGTCACTTTTTTGCTAACTGGTATACCACTGAATTTTTTGCACTGTGAAGCTTGGTTGGCAATGAGTAATGTTGTAATTGTTCATTCTTTCTTCTGAGACTTCATTGTATTTCTTGGTATTTTCCTTGAAGATGCTTCTATTAAAATTTTACTGAAAACATAAAAGGAAGCCTAAATGATTTATAATTTTTTCAAAACCAAATATTTTAAAACTAAATATTTTATGTTACATGACTGTTATTTTTTAAATTGGGTCAAAAACATCAAAGAAACAATGAAAGTTGTTCACTTATTCTTTCTAGGAGTTTCTTTGAGTTGCTGCTGTTCTTTGGAAGAGATGAGTTTTATGAAGAGCCCTTAAAGGATATTCTTGGATCATTCCAGGTAAAACGGTTTACTATTTTATAGCTGCCTATTTTTAAAACAGACTTTTATTTCCCTCCTAAAAATAATATATCAGTTTTTTTTTACCTGTAAGTTTTTATATTTACTAAGGTAGTAATGCTTAAGATCCTATTATAGTGGTGGATAAGAAAGTTTCTTGAATCTTTAGTTGTATTTCTAAGCAGTTCATAGACAGGATTCCAATTTCACATTGGACAATCCAGAGTTTGCTGCCATCATCCTTACAGACTACTCCTAATATATCCTATACTTATACTCACTATTTTATTATGACAGGCTTTATTCCTAAAGCTCCATGTAGAACTTAACCCTAGAAAAAACTCTGCTTGTCTAGACTAGGAGCATACTGTCTCATGCCACTTTCTCTTGACTGTACTCTAATTATATCATCTATTTTCATAATAGCTTTCCCAAGATAGGAGGCAGATTTTTGAGGACATATTGGTAAATGAAAGAAGAAAGTAAATTCAGAAGGGAATGGCAAAAGATCCCAAGACCTCTCCTATAGATGCAAGAATACTTTGATCTTGAGTGACAGCAAATCTAATACAGTGGCTCAGTAATGTGTTATTGGCATTATCTCATCTGCATTTCTCAGATGAACAAAGGAAGATGTACTTTGAAACCTCCCCCCCACCCCACCCAGGGGTAAAAATGTTCAGACACATTATTTTACATTTATTCCTATGGAGTTACCAAGAAAGGTGAGTCAGAAATATTGCTCTCCACCAGAGTTAGAGAAAAGTCATTCAATACTTTCTCTTACCTAAAACTTGTATTTCACATTTATTGAAAGAGAACTTTTAGACTGAATTAAAAAAGATTTTTATGAATGATCTGGTACATATGTAAAGTGGGGTCAGTGTATAAGTGACAAAGATATTTTTTTGTTCAGACTAGAAGTAGGTCTTTGTTAACCTGGGGCTTTTTAATCAGCCTGTGTTTCTTTGAAAGAGTGGAAGAAGTTGCTGGAAGAAGGTAGGGAATATAACCTCCCAAACAGGAGGATGCCCAAGGCTATCTTACTGCAATAACAACATAAAAGAAGAGCAATCAATCAAATATAAGGAACCATCCAAAAGAGGAGTTTAAATATGTTGATATGGCCACTCTTTTTCACTGGGGCAAGTAGTGATGTCCCCTAAAACTTTAGAGTGTGTATTTATTGTCATAAATCTACAAACCTTCAAGAATTTCAGCCAATGTGAAATTTAGAACCATTGACTTGACTAAAATCTTCTGAAACCCTGGACCAGGTCCCTCTCTACTTGGAATAAACTGCCCAAAGAGTTAGTTTGACAGTCTTTATCTTGGTATTCAAAACCACCTTAATAGTGCTGGTTAAAGGCTTTTACAAAATATAACGAAATCAGCCTAATAGCAAGCCATTTTGTGAGGAGCAGTTTCAAAATTGTTTTCCCATATTATCTGTTCTGATGTCCTCTCCTCTCTCTGCTCAATTCTGTTTTGACTGCGTATTTTCCTGTAAATCTTTAACCATTACCGTAACATGAATCCATCTGTATTTTATCTGTGACTTGAACGTCTCTAATTACACTGTTAGATATGGTAGGCAGAGACTGATTTTCATCCCTGTGTCTCTAACATTTATTAGTCTTAGTCCCTTAGTACTGATACACATTTATCAGCATAAAAGAAGGAGAAATAAATCATTCCAATCTGGTGTCTAACCATTTCTTTTAAAAAACAATCCTTTTAAAGATGTATCATTCTTTCTGAGCTCTAAAAAATAACAGTGAGGCATATTGTCTGAAACTCTACTTCATGGTCCATTTGTTTATGATTATGTACCGTGAAGTGGGGGAAAGATTAATAAACATCTTCATGGAATGAAACCATCAATATTTACTTGTGTATTCTACTTTGATAATGTATAGAAAACAAGTTGAAGTGTGCTTAGTTGTGAGAAAAATGTAAGGGAAAAGATTTTATTGTCTATAAAAGAAACATACTTGCCAAGTGTACCACATATTTAGCACTGAAGGGAATGGATGTTAAAATTAAAATTTCATATCTTAACATTATTTTATAAAGATTGTATTCTTTAGATAGACTGCTTGGAATGTATAAAGTTTTGATATTTTTCCCACTGGCATATATCTTTTTGAAATTATTATTCCTGATTGATAATTAGTGTAGGTCATCATCTTTTCACTTTCTCTGTAATTTTTTCAAAATAATCTGTTGGAGAAATACCCTGCTTCAGCTGTTGACAGTGTATAATCACTTTGAAGAGATAAAAAAACCAGAGTTATTTCAAGCATAAAATATATAATAAATTAGAGATAGTTAAGCTCAAGGGACTAAGAGCAAACATCCAAAAGATGAGGTATCAGTACCAGTAAGTTGCATATTTCAAGAAAGGTCAGTGTATGCTGACAGATGCAATAGTAGTCTACCAAACATTGTGCATTGACAGTTAATCACACCATACTTTTAAACCATAAACAAGGATTTATATCCTGAGCATATTGCAGTCTTTTATTGTAAGGAGCAGGTATATAAGTGCTTTCTGGTACCACTGATAGAATTAACACTTTGAAACTAGCCCTGAAAGGCGTTATCAGGATCATTGAGGCATTCATTGTTCACTGAAAAATGACTCCGTAGCATATCCTAACATGTAACAACTAGAATTATTAGCATAGTAGTGTAGTGCTTGAAGTAGTTTGAATATTTTTTTCAGGCAAAATATTAGATCATAGTAAATTTAGCTACATTTTTGTTTTGTTTTGTGTTTTTTTTTTTTTTTAATAGAGGCATGTTTTATTTATTTTTTTGTTTTGTTTATACATGCACTGGGTACAGTCAGAAGTGCGGGAGGGTGAGAGAATTCACCAGAGCCAGAGTGGGGAGCAGAGCAGGCAGAAGGACCAAAGTACACTGCTGAGGGGAGCAGCGGGCGGCAGGAGAGGTCTGCGCGCCATGTGAGACCCTTCTCCGGTGGCAGGGGAGCAGCCGGGGATCGAACCGGCGCCGCAGAAGCCGCAGGCAGCTTCTCAACCCAGCGCTCAACCGCTGTGCCACCGGGGAGGCCCAAATTTAGCTATAAAGAACTATAGAAAGCATTAAGGTCTGTCATGTATTTTAATAAATGATAAAACTGAGGATCAGAGATTTTTTTCATTCTTCTGTTCACAATATTTACTGGAGATTAAGTAAATTTGTCCAAATTATATCATAGGCAGTACTGTGACACCTGTTCTTTTCACTGACACCATTGTTCTTTCTGCTGAATCAGATTTCATATCTTTTTGTGGGAATCTGCTCAGAGAAAATCTTGTGTGTACCCTAATTCTGCTTTAGGGTTTATTTGTTTTACAGATTAGAACTACAAAAATAGCACCTCTCTGTTGGCTTTATTATTTCATTACTTGTTAAAAAATGTTCATGGTAGAGTTGTGCTTGCATTAGCAAGGCAATCGCCAGTTAATTTTTATATTTGATTTTTTTCTCATTGGTGGTTTTACTATATTTATGGTTGGTTTCCCTTTAGGATAAATTCTGATTTCAAGTTTACGTACTTTTTTACATTTACTAAAGTTCTTAAAATCTACAAAAATGTAATCAGGAAACAATTACTCATATTTCAATGTTTTTTAAAGTCCCCAAAGGGTATAGCTTTAATTGTTCATTAAATACATATTCTAATTATTTTCTAAAATAATTTGTAGTTTATACATTTTTATACAGGGAATCACTTTACAAATTGTTTAATTCAAAAAGGTAAAACTCATGCCATTTGTAGCAACATCGATGGACTGGATGGAACACATTGACATTATGCTAAGTGCATTAAGTCAGAAAGAGAAAGACAGATACTGGAATGTGTCACTTATATATGGAATATAGAGAAACCAGACACAGGGTCAGATAAAGTCGAAACTCACAAACTAGCCCTTGAAAGCTAACTTTAGAAATGAGGCTCTAGAGGGGAAAGGGGAGAGGCAAGCACAAAGAGGGTAGGAAGCACAATATGGTAGTGTACTATGGCAACATCACTGCAGGCAGGGATTCCTGTATTTCCAAAATGCAAACAGCAATATAAACCAGTACTAGTTACCTCAATTAAAAAAAAAAATAAAAAAGAAACTGTTTACTCCAGTTCCTTTGTATTAATCAAAAAGTTAAGCTGCAGTGGAGTTGAGGTTTTATAGAAGCAGAACAAAGGCCTATAAGTCTTACCCTCAACCAAGATTTCTTCCCAGCACTTCCTAACCTATTACATGAAATGATGTAACTGTGTATTTGCAATAATGAATATGTCAAAGGATAGATTTAAAGAAATGTTTTATTTATACTATTATGGAAGTGCTTCATTATCTAAAATTTTTTTGAAAACTCCCTTACTGGGAAGAAGGAAGAATAAAATTTATCTGAGTGATAGCAGATGAAGGGCTAAACTAGATAAAGCTAGAAATGTTAAAGATGCAGCCAATCAGATGTTACAGAAAACTGACATGATGTTTAGGATCAACAGAAGATGAGTTCTGATTTCAGACACAAGACCAGTAACACTTAAAGTCAGAAGTCTCCTGACCTCTGATATCACACCCACATACTATTTAAAAGAAATCTGAACGTACTGACAATATATGTGTATATGTATTATATATGTGTATATACTAATACTACATATATTGTGAAACATAAAAATACATTTATAAAGTGTAAAAGTAAAATAATGTTTTACAGTCTAAAAACTTTATTGGCACTGTGATTGAAAATTTTAACACTTGATCACTTTAGAACTCTGATTTTAAGTTCAGTTTATTGAAATTTGATTACTGTATTTTGTTTTAATTGCTGTTATTTTGAATAATACCCATTTTTAACAAATGAATTGAAAATTTATTAAAAAGCTCTAATGGAAAAAATTTCATCAGAAAATTCTAGTTTGTTTTTTTTTAATGGCATAGATACACATAGTATTGGTGACATACAGGCTTCTGGCAACCATCATCATATGATGATATAAATATTTCCAAACATTGATTTAAATAAAAGACTTTCTCAAGAACTTTATTTGGAAAATCACTAATTTCATTGCTATACTGTCCCCTTTACCCTATATGGACCAACTCAGAATGTTTTTTTTAGAAATCAGTTTATTTACTCCTGAAGAATTTTATATTAAAGAAGAACAAGTTTGTGATAATTGTCTTTTTGTAAAAAAAAAGGGTAACATTTTAGATTTTATAGTTTTTGGAAGTGCCTGACATTAGTGTAAACAAAGTGTAATAAAAGATATTCTAGTCTTATTTCAAAGTAGTAAAAGGATATTACTATAATTTAGGGGCTTTGTTTTTTTATAAAATTAACTACATTGAAGAACTTTTATATTTTTGCTTGATTTGTGCAGTAGCTAATTAATGGATTTGACATGTGTTATTATATAAGTTGTAATCTGTATTTTTCATTCAGAATATGACAGACGTTGCATAGTACTTCCACATACATAGATTTTCATAAAATCCTATTTTAATTTAAAAAGTCATTCTTAAGAATATATATTTTCTAGTACACCCTTTTTTACTCTGGCTCCATTTAAAGAAGTTTAGGAAGATGTCAGCAATAATGCAAGGCCCTTCTCTTAAGTGATAAGTTCCAGAAAAGTGAACTGGTACAAATTTTCAGTACTTCAGGAAGAAGTTTATTATGGATTGAGGTAGCTATTAGAGGCCTCAGGGAAAAAGTGGGACTGATAAAGATAGGCAGGAAATGATTAAAATAGGTTTACAGACAATTGTAGGAGAAATTAATATGAGAAAAGACACAGGCAAGAGAGTACAAGATGACTTTCGGAGACACAGAAAAGACCAGGCTGGAGAAAAGGATCATGATGTGGAGGAGGTGAATGAGTAGGTAGGTAAGTTTAGAGGTCCTTTAATATGAATTTGGGGCTTTTAAGAATTTCATCCTATGAGAAGCTGCTACAAGGTTCAAATCAAGTATGTAGAAATGGCCAGAACACTGACCGATAGCTTCACAGACATGTTGTAGTAACCAACTCTAAAGTGGCAATAAATCCAGGAAAGAGAAGTTTTCTGGAGCAACACATTAAGTTTACTCAACAGTGGACTGTGATTCTGAAAGTGTGAGAGTAGTAGTAGTTGTGTTTTCTTTCTACCTTTTTCAAAGGAACAGGGTTGACCATTTTTGAGGGACAATGATAATAGATAAGAAATAACTAAAAAAAAAAAAAAAGAATGAAATTACTTAACTAAAGAAAGGGTTAGGTTAATATGCGTCCAAATTTTTAATGAAGTAAAGCTATATACTCTAGGAATGATAAGCTGTGAATTCTACAGTGATTTAAATGCTTCCATTTTAACTTTGGAGGCTTTTAATTTGAGTATCATCCAAAAAAGCCACTATATTATTTAAAGAAGAGCCAAAAGATACATTTTTAAGTATCCTCTGTCTTTTTAAATAGACCAAAATGGACTCTATTTCATTTTTTATTTCTTATCCAGGGCTACTTCCCATAGAAGTAGTCTTTCCAAAATATGGACCCAGGACACAAAACCTGACACAAAAAATAAACTCACACTTAGAATTATCTTGGAGAAATGAAATTTAATATCTTGACAGGCATTACAATAAACATTTATAAAAGTACACCCTAGATGTAGGAGGTGCAATAAACAGGTATGCCAAGAGTTGACTATGGGATAAAGGTTGTTAAATATACAGATTTTCAGGGTTTTGTCCTAGAAATTTTGATTCATTAGGTTTGAATGTGGACCTGGGAATCTGGACTTTTTTTCAAATCAAGAGCTCATAGTGTTTCTTAATTTCATCTAAGCTTAGGATATTGACACTAGACCTATTTCACCGTATCTTGATTTAGGTCTATGTCAGGTTTAGTCCCACACATCTAATGGTGTGGTATGATTGGTACCTCATCCATCATAAAATAGGATGGGTTGAATTTTAGGGGCAGCAATATGTGTGTCTAGAGTAATTTGGGAGTTTTTTTACCTTGAAGTTTGAAACTGATTAATTGTTTTTAAGCATGAAGCCATTACTATAGATTGTTACTGTGTTACTTGAAGTAAAAAGAAGCCTGGCTGAACAATAACTTTATACCTTACCCTTATTTTAATTTTTCTGAATGCTATAATATTCTGACAATGTGGAAATGCAGAAATTAATTTTATGCTAAGGCAACTGGATATCCTAAATTATAGTATTTATACAAAATATTAAAATATAACAAATAATAGCTAACATTAAGTGCTTACTATGTGTCAGGCACTTTCCCAGCACTTTGTAAAACTTTGTTATTCAGTCCTCACAACAATCCTATGAAATAGGTGTTTTTAATATCTATTTTGCAGAGGAGTTAACTGAAGGAGCACAGAGAGGTTAAGTAACTTGCCCATTATACATAGGGTTTTTACTTGCTTACCTGCTGGTTTGAATTTGGGAGTACCCTAACTAAATTTTTAGAAATAACTTCATGTTCTGATGTAATGATCCTTTGATTTATATGACTGAATAATTATCTTGATATTTGATTTCTTCTAATGCATTGTTTTCTTAAAAAAACATTTTCTTGTATATTTTAATAAGGAATGAAAAGTGACATATAGAAATCACTTTGGAACATTTAATGAGGAATGAACTTGGCAATTTAACAAAAGTAGAGTTTATTGCCACTTTGAATATGTAGTTTGATGATTCATCTGGCAAGTAAAGTTTGAAGATATATCGAAGCTTTCTTCATTTTATAGTTGTTACTAAGTTTTAATTTCTGACAGAATTTTTAGCACAGAAAAATTCTGGCAACTGCTTAAAATTAAGGTGGAATTAATCAAAATTTTAACACTGCCAATTTCAATAGTTTCTTCTTAAGGCTTTACACTCAATTTTTGCATTTTTAAAAGTATTTATACTTGCAGTAGGTGTTCAGTTAATCTTTTTAATTATCAAGTTAAATTCTTTGAAACATTTTTTAAAACAACACCCAACAAAGTATACAGTGAATGAAAGAAGTATAGTGAAACAATTAAACCTTGTAAATCTAAAAAATCAAATTTATAAACTCAGTAAACCAAGTTCGCCTAAATATTAAACTTTGTAAACTTTTCTGTTATATATATTGCATATTATAATAAGATTACAGATTCTGTTAAACCATTTCAGATATATTAAGAATTCTAGAAAATATACACAGATTATCAGTTAAGGCCCAATTTACCAGTACCTCTTTATCTTAAATCTGATGCCGTTGTCATATTATAGACTTGACTCATTCCTTTAACTAGACATTTCTTCATCCCAAGACTACAAATCTACTTACACATCAAAGCAGAATAGAATTTCTATCTTCCAGTCTTCTACCATAACTAAGATTATTCATTTGGGATCAGGGCAGGGGACCTGCCCTGATACATATACAGGGGACCCTTGTATACTTGCCAACCAAAGTCTGCACTAGGCGGGGACCACTCTATCCCCTTCTTATAGTCAGGCTCTTGCCTGTCATTGTAGCTAAATATTTAGGTTTTACATTTTTGCAACCTGGTTCTTTTCCAAGAAATGATGCATCCCTTAAGTTTTTCCCTTAGGTTACACCTTATCCCTATTATAATGGGATCATCTAAGTCCAATTATGTATAAACTGTGTAACCTTTGGCATTAAAGCCTATTTGTGGACTAATGGGGTTTTGATACCCTATGTAAGTTACTATAATAACCCTTTCTCTTTTATAATTTAATAGCTGTCTGATTGACCATCAGTCATTTCACTGACAATGATGATCAAGTTTAGTTTTTAACCCCTTTAAATTCACAAAGCCAAAATGATTTTTCTCTCCTAGGAATGCCAGAATCACCTCCGCAGATATGGAAATGTGAATCTGGAACTGGTGACTCGAATCATTAGAGATGGTGGCCCATGGGAAGATCCAGTGTTGCAAGCTGTTCTTAAAGCCCAGCCAGCATCTCAGGAGATAGGTACTTCAGGAGACTCAAAATCAAAACCAACATTTGTGAGAAGCAAACACAATTTCTTTTTCTTAACTAGAGCAGTAATAGTAATTTTTCTTTATTTTATAATACTGAGTATGCAAGTAATGTATTTTCACATTAAGTATGTTATTACCAACCTAGCCCAAGAGTGATTTTTAATATCAGAGTAGGTGTCTAGTAATGGGAATTCATAATGTTAACAGATTTACCATCCAGATGTTACTTATTTACAGATAATTTTTGTTACTTCTGTTATATTTTTGAAATCTGTGTAAGTAGGAACACCCTTTAAATAATAACAAAAACCCAGTTTAAGCACATGGAAGCTCCTGTATATAGGAAACTGACTTTCAGTTTTTGTCACCATCACTGAATATCCTACACTTAGCCCACTGTCCGGTACTTGATATAGGTTCTAGCTCAGTGAATGAATGACCACATTATGAATGCATAACTGAGTGAGTTACTAATTGAATGATTTTCAACAGCAGATACTCTAGAGCAGTATTTCCCAAACTTCAGGAATTAACAGAAGTTAATTTCTGTATTGTCCCCTTACTACCTGTAACATACTACAACATCACTTCCTCTCAAACCTAGATCCATAGTGATTCCTGTAGATAAAAATTTCCTTTTGAGGCAGGATGTTCTGTCAATCACTTAGTTAATTCTTTTAATAAATGCTTACAGTGTTATTTCTCAACCCCTGAACCTTATCAAAACTTAGAGTTTAAGCTCAGCATCATAAAAGTGTGGATGCAGTTATAAAATGGTCAAAGGTCAAGACTCCCAGCTCTGGAGCCATTCATTCACACCTTGGTCTGGGTGAGAAAGACTTCACACCACAGTTGTGTTGAGCAGGTTAGGATCTTTCCATTTGTCACAGGTTAAGAGATGCAGTGTGAATTGTGAGTAAAATTGAGTGAAGATGGGCTTTTGACTCTTGGGCTCAAGAGCAAACATATCCCAGATAGATACAAGTGTAGTGGATGATGAAGAAAGATCAGTCTAGAAGTAATGCAAAAGCATTGGCAATGAGATGGGAATTAGGGCAAGACTTGGAGGAAAAGACTAAGGTATATGTGAGTATATCTGACAGTGGTATAGTGGCACATACACAGAGATACAAAGGAGACTAGCACTTAATGTGAGGGTCTCAAAAAGGAATTAAAAACTGAAGAACGAATGCAGTTAGGACTGAGGAGGAAGAGTTGAAATATTGAGGAAATGTGAAAAGTTAAAAGTGTTAAAAGTTTTTCTTTTCCTCTTATACAAGGAAGGCAAGGGTGACATACTGAAGGAAATTATGAGACTGGAGAAAGAGCTTCAAATGGAGTAAAAACAGGGGACGAAATCTGGGCCTTTAGAGCTTTTAGAGCTTAATCTGGGTAGGGGCTAGAACATTCTGTTGGTTGGTGTGAGGGTTGATGGCCTGAAGGTAGCAGTGCGTGTGTGTAACTTTCGTAACACTCCCCCCACATACAACGGTGTACTTCATTTTGGGGGAAGCTGCTCTAGAGCCTCACTGACATGAATGATTCAACTTGGGTGCTCATTAGGGTTAAGGCCAGTCTGAAGTTTATCTTTGCATTAACTATACAGATAATCAGTGTGTGCTTATCATAAATTATAAACAGAATTGTAAAGCAAATGTTGAGCCCCAAATAATACATTTACTCATAAGCATTTTTGAAACTACTGTCTAAACATCTGTTTAATAACTATAGTTATTAAAACACTTTTGTATTCAAAATCATGAAATATGGATTTCTGTCCTGCACTTACTCTTTGTTCTTGGGCAAGTCATTTGACCTCTCTGAGACTCAATTTTGTGATCTGTAAAATAATTATGAAGCCTATCATAAGGTTGTTGTTAGGTCTAATAAACTTATGTAGATGAAGGTGTTTATATGTTCTTAAATTGTGTAAAAGCAGCTACAAGTAATTATTCTTAGTGATATGTGAACATATGTGCAGTCTTATTTGGCACAAGTTTTAGCTCAGATTTTTGTTAAGTAAAATATTTCTTTTATGATTTAACTTTTTCCTTAATTCAGATTGTATTTCTCTCATCTGAATTAATGTGGTTTAATTACAAATTAAGAGCCAGCCATCTAATCTTATAGTTATGAAAATATTGAACACTCAGAAGATAAAGTATGTAATCTTTGGCTAGAAAGAAATTATAGTCCCCATGTTATTTGAAACATTGACATATTAGTGAACTGAAACAAGAAAATTTCATGTTTTTTTAATCTTGTTTTTTACTTTTGAGCTGAAGAGAAATCAACATTTCTCACACTCTTTTTGTCATGTATTTCCATTTTCCCAACAACTGAATATTCTTTTTTACAAATTCTTAGTAACGAAAGTTACTATCACCTTAGTGATAAAGATTCAAATAATAATCAAAGTTTGAGAGAATATTTTCTTGAAAGTAATGAGTCTGTTTTCTTTTTAATATAGTGAATAAATATTTAAGTTCTGAAAATCCACTGTTCTTTGAACTACGTGCCAGATACCTGATAGCTTGTGAACGCATACCAGAAGCAATGGCTCTTATTAAATCTTGTATAAATCACCCAGAAATCAGTAAAGACTTGTACTTCCATCAAGCTTTCTTCACATGTCTGTTTATGTCACCTGTAGAAGATCAGCTATTACGGGAGGTACTGTCTGTGATTATGTTTGTCTCTTAGCATTTTAACCCTACCAAAAAAAAACTGTCCATTCTTGTTAAATTCCTTTTATAGTAATAACAAAGGTTTTAATATTACATTATCTAGATGTGTTTTCTTTGGCACCGTTCTTAAAGCTCACATTGAATTAAAATGTGATACTGACAAATATTAAATTAATAAAACTCATTAATAAGCATTTTCCATGTTGAGCTTTTGATATGACAGAGGTCAAATAAAAACTGAGAGGCATTATTTTTACCTTTTACATAAAATACCAAGAAACTAAATACTCTTCTTTTTTTTTTTTTTAAGATAAAAGACCCTTTTTGTAATAAGCATGTGCTCAAATAATGGTTTACTGTCATATCATCATGTTGATAAGGAAAAAAAATCCTGGCCAATGTTAAACAAAATGACATTATTTAAGGATCTAGTTTCATTTTATGTTGTTTCACTTGAAATCAGTTTCCAAGACCTTATAAATGAAATTGCATGAGGATTTTACTGTACTGACTACTTAACCAATAAGTTAAGAACTTTAACAAGATTGAAACAAGTCATTGGAAACAGTAGGTGTTATACAGAGAAACTATGAAAATATTTTGATATGTTTCTTTATTGTGTTTTGTAGGAGTAAACTAGAAATCTAATTTCTTCTGAACGTTTAATTTAAACATATATTGCAACTTGTATATTGGATTACCTATAGCATTTCAGATATTTTTAATAATATGAATGGGTTTTTCTTTTCCTCTTATAGCATTTATTGAAAACCGATTGTAAGAGTGGGATTGATATCATCTGTAATACTGAAAAAGAAGGCAAGACTCTCTTAGCCTTACAACTCTGTGAATCATTTCTTATTCCACAGCTCCAGAATGGGGATATGTACTGTATCTGGTAAGTGTTCCTATTACAGAAATTGAAATAGTAAGATGAGGACAGAAGAATTTATTAGCAGAATTTGGACTTAATTTTTTTAAAAGTTATTTGGAAATTTAAACCACTATTTTCCATTATTTTTATACAATAATTCTTGGTTTTTAAAAATTTTTATTTATTTTTAGGTAGAAGAACTGGGATGTAGACCAGAGGCACAGGAGGTGAGAAGAATCACCACAAACAGAATGGGGAGCAGAATAGGTGGAGCTACTGAAATACACTGCTAAGGGGAGCAGTGGGTGAGACAGGAGAGGTCTGCTGCACCATGTGGGTTAGCTCCCTGGCTGGGGCTCAAACTCAGACCATAGAGGTGATAGCGCTGAGACTGACTTAACCATGAGGTTACCAGGGAGGCCCAATGTTGAGATATTGACAATATTGAGTATTCCAATCTCCTGAAATGTTGTACTTCTCTATTTAGTTGCTTTATTTCATTCACCAGAGTTTTGTAATTTTCCTCATGTAAATCTTGTACATATTTTGTTAAATTTACACCTGATTATTTCATTATGGGGGTGCTAACATGGTATTGCATGAGTATTATTTCTAAACATTTGAAAAATAACTTAGAAGTTATTAGGCCATAAAAACACTAAGTTTACCTAGCAATCACGTGGCTTAGAATGTGGTATGAGAGTATCTACCCTTCAAGTGCTATTAGGTGAAATCATAAATGATAATTATAAAAGAGTCTAATAATTTCTGCCTTCTTTACACATAATACAGACACACAAAACCCTCATTGCTTTGGTGTTTCATTATTTCTTAAAAGGAAAACTAGGTTTCATTTGCTGAACATAATAATTAGAGGTGATATGGAATAGAAATACTTTTAAATAAATGTTTTCTAATATAAAATCTTATGTTTAGAATAATAGCTTAAAGGGGAATTGAAAAATAACCTCACTTGGGCCTCCCCTGGTGGGGCAGGCGGTTGAGTGCCATGCTATGAAGCTGTCCGCAGCCTCTGCAGCACCGGTTTGAGCCCGGCCGGCCTGCCGGTAAGGGTCCCACATGGCACAGCAGACCTAGCCTGTCTCACCTGCTGCTCCCCTCAGCAGTGTATTTCAGTTAGTCTGCCTGTTCTGCTCCCAACTCTGTCTCGGTGAATCCTCTCACCTTCCTGTGCATCTGGCCCATACCTCGGTTCTTGTATAAATAAATAAGTAAATCTTTAAAAAAAACAAAATAAAAATAAAAATAACCTCACTTTGTATTCTTGTTTCATAGATTAAAACTTTTAGACTCAGAGTGAAATAGCTAATTTGTAGCAGAGTGTGTCTAGAAACAAGAGGAGTTATCTTCTGGGAGAGCACACTTTTACATTTTGCATATTTTTATTCAAAAGTTTATCATGTAAATTGGAATTTCTATAGGAGGGGATTGAGAAATGGTAGTAAGACATATACATAATTTTCAAAGTATTTTTTGATATGTAGTTATTTTGAAATAATATAGTCATGACCGTTATAGTAGATTTCTTCCTATGAGGATAGGAATTTCTCTATTTTGGGCTGTATTAAATCATTCAAATGGGATTTCTTTTAGTGTTTTTATTTAAATATATCCATATTAAACTGGAATCAAGTTTAAGGAAACGAACAGGAAAACATTTTATTTTCTTCTCTTTGCTAACAAATTTAATAGAACACTCATATCCTTTCTGCTACTGGCCAGTCACCCTCTAAGAATAAAAGCTGGGTGTGCAATTCCCACCTTCCTAACAGGAGAGAAACCTTTAGCCTGCATCTTTGTCCTTTCTTCTGAGTAGTCTGATTCTGATAGCCTGCTCGTCTAGCTCTCCTCTATATTTCTGAATGCCTGTGTCCTTTTACTTTCAGAAGTTGATTTTTTTCCCCTGTAACTTGAAAAGTAGGATTCTTTCCAGCCTACAAGGGCTGTGTTGTCTGTTTCATTTTGGCTTTCCCTATGAGCTAGTTTAGCCTTCATCTCCTCTTTCTTAGTATAGAATCTGATCCACAGTTCAACTTGGCTCTGTAACAAGTTAATGGGGTAAACGATTAACCACATTTTTCTCATTACTACTCATGCTAATAATAATAGCTGCTAATATTTGCTGAGTGCTTCCTAGTATCTTAGTCCAACTATCTTATGGGATAGATACTATGCTCAAGCCATTCCACTAGTAAGTAGAGAAGCCAGAATTCAAACCCAAATAGCCTAACTCAAAGGCTGTGCTACTAATCACTTACTATAAATTGGTCAAATCTGAAAAAAAAAAAAAAAAATCTGTATTTTAAGACCACAGACCCTGTTAAAGCCTATTCTCTACAACTGCTAACAGTTAGCTACTTGGGATATATGTTTGTATACCAAATTGATGCTCTGTTTTTTAGAAGATCCTGTTTGTAAAGAAAATGCAGGCAATAAGCTTCATTAAGCATTCCTATTTAGGCCTTGCAGAGACTATTGTCTTACTTCAGTATGTTTTGTTCTTTGGTGTTTTCCAAAATCCTGTGTACAACTAACACCTGAGATCCCTTTTTGTGAATTAAATCAAGATGGAGCTTTATAATCATATTTTCAGATTTCTGCTTGGTTTGCTAAAAAGCTAAAAATCCATATTGATAGTTGTCTCCTGGAAAATTTACTAGGATCTTGGGATTGCATTATATTTTATTTACTGAGTTTCCTCATGAGTTAACAGAGACAAAGAAAAATGCCTTCCTTTAAAGAAATATAATATTGCGTCTGAAGAATGGCTGGCTGAAAAAAATATCAAATTATTTTCAGGGACAAGCTGGAAAATACATATATTCATTTTGAAGATGTTAAACATTTTTATAATAATGAATGGAATACTCTCCCATAATTTCCATTGCTTTTTTTTGTCTTTAAATCTGTTGCAGAGAGATGCACAGTTGGTTTGTTTGCCTTCTTCCATCTATACCCCTCTGTTCATAATATATATCCCTTATCCTTTTCTATGTCCACATAGAAAAGGATGTAGACATGTCTACAGTTTCCCTTCATATATTTCCTTAAGAGACTTATAAATGCGTTCAGCTTTTAGGAATACAATTTTTTACTAGGTTATTAACTAGCAGATATTTATTGAGTAACTCTTACTGCTTGGTATACTGAGAAGATTGTAACAACAAAAAAGAAACTAGCAATTTATGACACGTAGTATCTATCAGACATTTCACCTACATCTTTACACATCTCTCTTAATTCTTTTTATGTATAAGGAAACTCGATAAAAATTAAAAACCACACATAGCTGATACAAAATTTATACTAGTCAGCTGGTGGCTAAAATTTATACTAGTCAGTACCAATGATAACATCCTATGTCTAATTAGCTTAGGAGAAAGTCACTTATTGAGAGGATACTGAGTTGTGACACAAGTCACAAAAAGGGTAGAGATATAGTTGTTTCCCAAAGATAACTGCTATCAGGGACAGTGAGATTTCCTAGTATTTTTTTTAAAAAATGTGTTTCACTTCCAGTTAGTCTCTTGTTGGAATCAAAGGAATGCTGAGTCCCTAAGTTCATAGGATAGAGTCATGAATGGGGTCAGTTTCCTATCCTTGAATTGATGATGTAAGAATGGTGAGGTGGCTCACATAGGAAATATAACAAATGGGATCCCAACCCTGGATATAGGGCTATTCCCAAGGGTCGGTGGCTCAGTATGAATAGGGCAGCACCATGTCTGTTAGTGTATAATGAATGCTCTATTGAGATTTGGGTCTCTTCATTTTTAATCTCATGTTCTTGGAACTATTTCCTCTGTGTGTGTGTGTGTGTGTGTGTGTGTGTCTGTGTATAATTATGGATAATTACAACATTACAGTGTTGTAATTGGGAAACAGGTCTTATAAAATAAACAAGGAAGAAAAGGTACTTGATATGGGAAGATAAATTCACCTTAGAAATAAAAAAATAAAGAAGTATTTCCCAAATAAAATAACCAGCATAAACAAAAGTGAGAATAAATGAAGCACTCTGACAGTGAGGAAATCAACCTGCAAGAATGTCCAGAATTTAAATTCTGCTTCATCTAGCTCCCAAACACATTTCTGTTGCTATTAACACTGTACAGCATACTGAATAAGCACTACATGAAATGATCTGGGAAACTGAAAACCAATTCATTTAGCAACCACTGTAGAAGTATATGTTTAAAATTAAAGGGCCTAGAGTGGTAGTATTGAAAAGAATGGTATGGCTGTAGGCAAAAATACAATTGAAATGAAAAGACTTAGAAAAATTAAACAGGTTAAAATTAAAAAGAGAGAGGAATGTTTTATATAATTTATTGATCTAGAAAAAGATTATCAATCTTACAAAAATATGATTAGTTCTATGTGAGTTAGGGTGATAGAAAGCAATCTGAAGTGATATATCCCAGTATGGAAACTAGGAAAGAAGTCAAAGGTAGATATTTGGGAGGACTATATTATTAAACCTGATGAGCATTCTAAAAGAAGTATGTTTATAAAGAAAAAAAGTGGGTAGTAGACTGAAAATTACTAACTGCCCCACAAACCCCAGATGGTATGAAATGGAGATGGAATTTAGGGTTTTTTCTGTTACTTGCAATCATTTTGTGTTTTCTGTATTGTCCCTCTAAGAAGACTATACACCCTTCATGATAGTAGTCAAGCTATTTTTAGATTTACTAGCAATTTGTGCTGGGTGCAAAGTGTGTAGTCAATAAATTTCTTTGAAATGTTAAAAACAATCTTCATCAATACTCTTTAGATTGTGATGCTTTATGTACCTTTTGTAAAATGCTTTTAAAAATTCTAATTTATGAAAATACATCATCCAAACCTAACAATTAAATCGTATGATTTCCTTTGCCTAGAAACTTACTGCTCTTACCTTGTTCATCTAGTAACCTTGCCATATTACAGAAGGAGTCTACCTGTGAAATATTTTAAATTGTCCATTGCCTGTCTTTTTAAAAGTACAACACCTTAATGAAATAGCAGATAATGTAAAATGTGAAATTTTAGAACTAGCATAATATACTTACACTTTCAATATGTGATACTTTTGGTTTGTTAACAGAGTGAAAATGAAAAATATGAGCCATTCTTTGCAGAAAGCCTACAATACTGATTTCTAAATTTGCAAGTAGAGTATTAAAGTATAAAGGTTTTAAGTGATAGCATTAATATTGTTACAATGGGATTAGAATTTGTTTTGATTGAGGACTAGAGATGCTCTAGGTTTGCCAGAAAATGATTATCACTCATTCCTTACTACTGCAAAATTACAATCTCTCCCCACCCCCACCCCCCAACTTCTATTAGTTTCAAATAGGTAGCAGAAGTGGCTTGGTGGAGGGGGAGGAGGGAGAGCTGACTTAATATCCATTTACACCCACCTTCTATACACCCCAGCCAGGGTGCATTAGAGAAAGGCTGCTAATGTGTGTATTTGAATAAGCTGTATTTTTGATATTTGTGTTTTTTTCATTTACAGGGAGTTGATTTTCATATGGAGTAAACTTCAGCTTAAGTCTAATCCTTCAAAACAAGTTTTTGTAGATCAATGCTACCAGCTTTTAAGAACAGCAACTAATGTGAGAGTCATATTTCCTTTCATGAAAATCATTAAAGATGAGGTAAATAGGATATATTTATCCCTTCATTTTAAATGAAATTTAAATGCCATTCACTGAAATATGAATCTTTTGATAAAATTCATTTGATTATGACATTAAAGAGGAGGATTTTTAAGGCCATATTCTCCATACACATCTTTTCCACTCTCAACATCAAATTCCCAACATTGTACAAAGAATATATATAAATGAAAATAACTGAAAAAAAGACAGTAAAAAAGCCAATTTAGTGTTGCTAAAAATTTGAGATGGGAACATTTGCTTCCAAGGAAGCTATGGTATCTTTTATTATAATGAAATAATTCTGCCATGTTTAATATCCTAAGTCATATTTGTAGAATCTTAACTAATTTGCAAATGAACTTTGTATACCTATAGGTAATACCTGCTCACTGTCAGAAAAATGTAATTCAGTTTTAAATCTGGTGTTTAGGTGACAAGGATCAATACATTCTGAGGTATATTTGAAACTTAAGGACATATTTCTAAGATGTTTATTTGAAGTAATAGTCAAAATCTATTATTTTTAAAAATTGTTCTCAAACAAGTGTTTCATGGACCACTTGCAAGTGAGTACAGTTCTGCATATGGCTCTTATATGGACGTAATAATGGATCCTGCAGATCTTTTCAATTTTTCCTTTACATTAACCAACTTTCAATGCAAAGAGAGGAAAGATAAAGCTACCTTGCATTTTAGATAGCTCCATTAAGAATCATTATATGGGTTAATTTTAAGTATATAAAGAAGAATCCATTATATATATTTTTTCTTATGTATTTATGCATTTATCATATTCATTATCACATAACTCATTAGATGACTGTGGTGATCTTATTTTCATACAAAGTTGGCAACACTGTATCATTGTGTTGTTTTGTTTTCCTATTTATTTTGCAAACTGTATTAATAGCGTCATTATTATTAAATAGTAAAATGTCACTCAACTGCACTATAAAATTTAACCTCTCACCCTATCAAAAGAAGGAGGGAAAAACTATGCTATATAATAGTTCTCAACATCTGAGTACATCAGAATCACCTACAAAATTTTTTTTTTAAAAATAAATGTGTCCATAAATACACTCTTTACATGGCTTTAATTTGCACCAAAAATTGAGAGACCTTGTTATAAAAAGATTACAATATAGATGATAGGCCCAGTAATAATAGTTTTTCTATTTTTTTAGTTTTATATTTTCATTATAAAAGGAAAAATTCAAAGGTGAAACCATTACAAATGTGCTTAATTGTTCACACTACTAAAAATATTTTTATCTGACAGAATAGATCATTCATGTATCTTAGTGAAAAAGGCATAAAAAATGCTGTGTGAGTTTAGATATTATAGACGTTATATTTGAAAAGACTTCACAAAAAAAACTTGCATTTTTGAATTATAGATAAGGATTTCATACTAACATTTATAGAGGGCTTTGTAGTTTACGGAGTACTTTTGCCTCATTTCATTAATTTAATTCTCAATTTTCCAGTGACATTAATAGACTAGTACAGAAAAGTGGTGGCGGGGGGAGGAGGGAAGATAATAAAAAATAGTTAAGATAATAAACTATTCAGAGAGACTGCAGGGGGGTGGGGTTGCTTCTTAGATCTTAATGGGACTTGAGTGCTACACTAAAAATTGGAATATCACTCCATAAATAATACTGGAATCATTAAAAGACTTCAGGTAAGTCTATCCCCCTTTTGTGATGATCCTGATATTTTAAATGTAGACAGTTGGGTACATTACAATTGCAGGAGTCAATATAGAAGCCAGAGATAGAATTTTGAAGAAAGAGAAAGAATAATTTTGAACTAATGAGTTTTAAATTTGTTGTATCTGTGAAAATCTAGGGTAGAAATAGCTAATTGTATGAGAAAATAAGACATTATAATTTAGAATAAGATTCCACTGGAAATGATAGATTTAGAACAGAAAACTAAGGTCAGTGTACTAGATCAGATCCCATTCATTCTGTAAACATTTATTCAAAAGTCACTATATACCAACTGCTACGTTAACGATAGGAGGATACAAAAAAGTTAAGATACTATGCCTGTGATTTAGGAATTCAAAGGGGTAGAGACATACATAGATAGTTATTAAAATATATACATACTTTTTACAAATGAGTATAAGTTACTCTCAAGTAAAAAAGAAAAGGAATTTTTAACTTAACATAGGATGGATCTGATAAATGGCGAGAAAAACTTCTAGAGTGTAACTGATTCTTTAAAGAATGAATAGGAGATGGTTAAGAATTTACTATGTTGATAAAACTGGGAGTATGATAAGCAAAGTTGAGGTCAATTTGTGGAACTGCAAGTAGTTAAGGTCACACAGCACACAAAGTAGAAGACATGAGGTTGGCAAGATAGTATTGTCATTTATAACATTCTATTTGTAGGATGACGTAACACACACATAACTTTAAAGACATATTATTGTATCTTTCTATTTGTACTGGCATTTAGACTTTTACAAATCACTGAAGACATTTATAACTTCAATTAAGATTGATAGACAAGTTTCCAAGTTAAAACTGATATAGTTATCTTTGAGCCACCGGCAAAAGTTTCAAAGCTTGAAACATTTTCAGAACATAACTGCTAGTAGGTTCATTATTGATATTATTGTAATTGCACTTTCTGTGTGGGCCAAACTGCTTCCCTTATAAATTACTTAAAGTAATAAAATAAGTAATGTAGTTTCATACAGGTTTATGAAAGTTTCTACATATAATTTAACACTTCTGCCACAGAATGTGAGATGGATACTTAAAATAATAAACAGGGGCCTTGATTTTTAGGCATCTTAATCACTCAGTTTAGAAAGCATTTTGTATTTTAATCAGCGTAAGCTTAGGAAGCAGTTTGTATTATGCTCAATAGGACCTTTCAAACTTGATTATTACATAAATTGAAAACTAACTTTTACAGATTCCTTTCAAGTTAAAAAAGAACAATTTATGTCATATGTTTAAAAAGTCAAACAAGGGTACCCATTGAGGAAAACTGCACATTTGGAATACTGTTTGTTCAGCTTTCATTTTAATTGTATTTTAAAAATATAAATCAGTGTAATAATCTTAAAAAATATTTAGTAGTAGTGTTTTTCTTTTTACAGGTTGAAGAAGAAGGTTTACAAATTTGTGTTGAAATATGTGGTTGTGCTTTACAACTAGACCTTCATGATGATCCCAAAACTAAATGTCTAATTTATAAAACAATTGCACATTTTTTGCCAAATGATTTGGAGATTCTCAGAATTTGTGCACTCTCAATATTTTTTCTTGAGCGCTCCGTGGAAGCTTATCATACTGTTGAAGAGCTTTACAAACATCCAGATGAAGAATATAATGAAGGCACAAGCTGTGTCCAAAATCGTGTTCGTTTTGAATTACTTCCAATTTTAAAAAAGGGATTGTTTTTTGATCCTGAATTCTGGAACTTCGTAATGATTAAGAAGAACTGTGTAGCATTACTGAGTGATAAATCAGCACTTAGGTTTCTAAACGAAAGTACACTGGAAAATTCTATAGATAATCTAAAAAAGGCAGCAGAACAGCATGATTTGGATGAAGGATTTGACTCTCTTATAGATGAGATCACTGGAGAGCTTGATCCTGACGATATATCTGGAATGCAACCTAAAGATCATATTAATACAAAGAAAAACCTTACAGCTCTTAATACTTCCAAAGTAGATCACAATGTCCCAAGGCACCGGTGTATGTTATGTAACAAGGAATTTCTAGGTGGTCACATTGTAAGGCATGCCCAGGCTCATCAAAAAAAGGGCAGTTTTTCATGTGTAATATGTGGTAGAAAATTTAGAAACAGAGGGCTTATGCAGAAGCATTTAAAGAATCATGTTAAGAAAATACAGAGACAGCAAATTGCTGCAGCTCAACAGGAAGAAATTCCAGCTTTGGAAGAAATTCATTGCTCCAATTCTTTCATTTCATTTGAAAATGGGAATTCTGATAACAAGGATTTGGAAGTTGAAATTATTACTGCTTCCAATGATGGAAACAAAGAAGTCATTCCTGCACATGTGACTGAATTCATTGAAATCCCTGTAAGTGTATCAGAAGATGCCACTGAAAACATTATTGAAAATGGTAGTCCTGATACTTCTTTAAATACTGTCTCAGAGCCGTTACCTATATGTGAGGACGAGGAAGAGGAAGAGGATGAAGAAGGTGATTATGAAGAAGATGATTACGACTTAAACCAAGAAACTTCAGTACTTCATAAAATCAATGGAACCGTGTGCCATCCGAAAGACATATATGCTACAGATCAAGAAGGAAACTTTAAATGTCCTGCTCTTGGTTGTGTCAGGATATTTAAAAGAATTGGATTTCTAAATAAACATGCAAGGACTGTACATCCAACTGATTTAAATGTGCGACAAACAGTAATGAAGTGGAGCAAAGGAAAATGTAAATTTTGTCAAAGGCAGTTTGAAGATTCCCAACATTTTATAGATCACCTTAATAGACACAGCTATCCAAATGTGTACTTTTGTTTGCATTTTAACTGCAATGAGTCGTTTAAACTGCCATTCCAGCTTGCTCAGCACACAAAGAGTCACAGGATATTTCAAGCTCAGTGCAGTTTTCCAGAATGCCATGAGCTTTTTGAAGATCTTCCTCTTCTCTATGAACATGAAGCTCAGCACTATTTAAGTAAAACACCAGAATCATCTGCACAACCAAGTGAAGCAATTCTTTGGGATGTTATTACAGACTCAAATCCTAATCATCAGGAAAAAGACTCATCTAGTAATGAGAAACAAACTGTTAGTCTGCCAGTTTCTACTAGCAAATTAAGGAAAGATTCTACAGAACCAAAGATGTGTACAGAAAGTATGGAAAAGAAAACAGACAGTTTAGTTCAGAATGGAAATGAACATTCTGATGACACTGTTTCTGATAAAAGCTTGATAGACCAAAAGATGCCTGACATTGAGCCAAATTCTGAAAATAATTGTAGTATTAGTGATTTAGTCAATGGACACAGTGGACTAGAGCAGGCGGCTTTAGTTTCATCAGATCCTGCTTTGAAAAGTGATACACATAAAATCAGGACAGAAAATGGTTCCATCTTACCCACTGTTGTATCACAAGAACACACTACTCTACCGGTATCTCAGGCACCTTCCAAACCAAATCTGACAAGTGAACATACTTCATATGGCTTAATTTTAACAAAGCCATATGTTAGACCATTGCCTCCCAGTTACCTTGATGAACGGTACCTTAGTATGCCAAAACGCAGAAAATTTCTGACTGATAAAGTAGATGCCTGTTCTGATCAAGATAATGTTTGTAAAAAACCGGTGAAAAGATTAAGATGTGGCAAATGCCTGACCACCTACTGTAATGCTGAAGCACTTGAGGCTCACCTTGCACAAAAGAAATGTCAGACACTCTTTGGATTTGATTCAGATGATGAAAGTAAGTCTTCTTTCAGTAGGTATACCTGTAGATATAGAAAATACCATCGCTCTTTATACATTTGTATAGCACAAATAATAAAGCACGAACCCATATATTATTTCCTTTAATCCATACAGTCACAATGAGATGATACTACTATTCCTGTTTTACAGCTCAAGAAACTGAAATTCACAGGTTAAGTAATTTGCATAGGCATAGGCCTATAAACTTGTGGAACCCAACCCGAACATAGGTTTTTCACACACTTTCATGTATCTGAGGCTTTTCTTCACTCCTTGTATAAAAGTTCCAGAAACGAAGTAATTAGGATGCAAATGTTTTTCATTTGTATGCCAGAATATGAACCAGGCGAAGTTGAGCCTCTATTAAAAAGAGAAAGTTAAAAAAATCAGAAAATAATTGAAAAGTAAAGAGCTTGCCTTTTTACTCTCTCAATATTGTTTTAGCAAGTAAGGGTATAAATTAAAAAGGAATCTGATTTAGAATTCCAGCTGAACCTCTATAAAATTTGAATTAACAGAGGTGTTCTATTTTACAGGTGCCTGATAAAAATGTTTCAGAAAGATCTGTCGATCAAGCAGTAGTGTGAAAAAAGCACTACAAGAAAATGCATCATCAGTTTGCTATTTCCCTGATGGCCTTAAATTTAGAACGGTCTTGGATTACTTAAGAAAAAGACAAAGCACATTTTCTAGAATGAACTCACTGAAGAGATGTGCTGGTATAGACTCCAAAAGAGTTATGACAAAACTCCCAAAGTACCAGTTATCCAGAAAACCACACTTTTTAAAAAGTTGATGATTAATAGCAGCATGATCACGTTTCACTTATGTGAGAAATATGTTCAGGCAACTAGTCAGAAGATAAACCAGCTATGGCCTTACAGAAAGGGAAGAGTTAATCCATTATATAAAAGGGGGTGGTGTTGGTTTATAATAAACAACTTAAAGCATTCTACAAATGGAATTTGTTTTCTTGTCATGCATAATCAGAGTATGTCTTCCTTTCTGGTCAAACATGGATTAAGGAACCACTACTCTTAGGTTTATTATAATTTAGAAACTGGAACATGGAAATAAATTGATTTATGACCATACTATCTGGCTGTCTGATATAAATTATTACAGATGGTTGATTACATCAAAAGTTGAATTAATGGCATGCCAGCATTGGAAATTTCAAAAACTAAAACAAAACAGCAATGCTTTGTTTAATAATAATAAGCTCTTGATAAATCTTCCACATACCTACAAATGAGTAAATTTAAAAGGTAACAGTGTCAATTAAATAGGATAAGTACCAACAGTGAGTAACTGGGGAGAGATGGGAGGAATCTAAAACCATTAAAGGCTATTAGTTGAAGGAAAACACTGAATTGCATATTCCTCAATGTGAATAATGGTATAAGCACACTGGGATATTTCTTATTTGTATATAGAGTAGTGTGAGGACATTGTTTGATGATTCATAGTAAGGTCCTTTAGACATTAATGTGAGTTATCTAAGTACAGTCCTACAAAAACAACTGGTTATTAAAAAAATCATGTCATCTAAAGAAATCAGGGCAAGAGTTCGTTGGTTTTATTCAATTAGAATTAATTCTAAAGCCATATTATTTATTAGTAATGAATTTGGTCTGAATAACAATTTTTATATAAGGAAATATTTACACAAAAATTTGCACATCACGAATACAGTAAGATATAATGATCTATTTATTTTCCTTGAAAACCAGTAATTTTCTTAAAGAAGATTTTTAACTTATTAGTCAATACATTGTTAAAACACATTCTTTAAAATACCCTATCACATATTTTCCACTTGTCCATTCTCTTAAAGAGGAAGCTTAAATACCTTCTCTTACCTAAACACATGTTAACCTAATAGCAAGGATTAAAATAAACCTGCAAGGGACATTCCTTAAAAATGGAGCTACTGATATACCAATGTCAAGCAAATATTCCATTTATTTCAAATGATGTATTTTTGTTCAAGTCAGATAATCTTATCAGATCCTACTATTACAAATGTTTGAACATAAAGCTTCTTGAATAAATTTACTAAGGAAGTGGTAGATGGGACATTTTCTTAAAGTAGCATCCAGACTATATTAAATTAGGATTTCCACGCTATGGCAGATTAGATATCTAAAATAAAATTCCCCAGTATTATTAATTTATTTATAATGAGCATTCACTTCTATGCAACTTATATTCATAAATCCCTTTCAGTCAAATTCAGGTTTTTGTTGTTATATAGCCTACATTAGGCTGTGAACTTGTCATTTAAATAGCAGACAGGTAAACACAACTCAACAGATTTTTAAATCATTTAAGGTCAACTAACAAAAAATATTTCCCATACTTCCTAATACTAAAAATTTAATACTTGTGTTCTATTTCAGTCTAAAAGAACATCAGGTAGTAAAAAATTTATTTGGAAACTATTTCATTTGGACAATTTTTTTTTTACATATCATTTCTTTGTACATTTTCCAGAAGTTTAGAATTACAACTTAACATTTTATAATTTTTAACTTTTTTGCAAGTTATAACCATTAGCTCTATGCCCTCAAATTATTTTCATTCTATAGTTCATATCAAGATTTTTTAAACATATTCCACTTATTTGTTTTTAATTTGTGATTGTATTTCTGTTTGTGTTGTTAAGGGAAAGCTGTTTCTGAAAGACAGATTAAAATGGTTTAGATAGAACTAAAAGGAATATTTTATAAAATTCTATTTGACCACACCATCCTAATCGCTCTATATACTTTTCAAATAACTATTGAAAGAGTGTACATTTTATTATGTATGTCTTATACAAATTTATATCATTTTGTTTTTATGGGGTGCATAAACTTGCAACAGTTCTAATTTGGGATTCAAACAAAAAGGAAGTTTTCTCAAGTTATTCTTTTTTTCTTCCTGCTTCTATTTTGAGGATTTTTTTTTTTATCTTACATGGGCCAAGTTTCAATGCTTTATTTTTAAATAAAAATTTCCTTCGAACATTAAATACTAACTTTCTGCTATGTTTCTGTAAGGTCAAGAAAATAGCAAGTCCAAATTTTCGCTGCTCAGATATTATGGAGGACGTAGAAAAGGGAGAATCTCTGTGGACAAGGACACTGGTACTTTGGGCTTTAGCCATATTCTTTTTTTTTTTTTTTAACCCACCAATTATATAATAAGTACATAATTTATAACATTGAACTTGTGATTCTTTTCAAATCACACTTGAAGGTTCAGCCGTACTCCTTTCATGTTTGGTTTAAATTGTTGTATGGATGAAAAACCTAAAAGGGATGATAGTGTTTATTTTTTAATTTATTTGGTACTGTAAAACACCTTTTCAGAGTGACTAAATGCTGCATATGCATTTTGGAATTGTTAATATGTGAAAGATATAAAAGATTCAGCAAGAAAGGAAATTTGTGCTTCCTTGTTGAATATTAAATTATTTTACTTTGCATTTTATAAGAGTACAAATTAAAACTGAGCCATTGAACTGCAATAAATCAACAATAGTGTCTCATTTCAAGAAATTTTTTGTACTGTACATAGATTTGTTCAATAAAACATTGTCCTTGTTGGTAATGAAGTGTTCAGTTTTATGTAGCACACTGCTTCAATTCAAAAGAAATTAGGCTTAAGGTATATATTAAATTAAGAATTAGGCTTATTGTATATATTAAACAAGAAATTTCTATTATGTCTCATTGTAAGAGAAAGAGGTATGTCAGTTAAGATGCAGATACTGAGTAAACTCTTACAACAAAAAAATCAAAGTTCACACAAAAAAGACATTTTTTTTTTTGTGAGAACTGGGGTGTAGACCAGAGGTATGGTGGGGGTGAGAGGAATCACCATAGAATGGGGAGCAGAACAGGTGCATTTACTGAAATACACTGCTGGGGGGAGCAGCAGGTGAGACAGTACAGGTCTGCTGCTTCATAAGTGGGTTAGTTCCCTGGCCAGGGATTAAACTCAGATGGTGCTGAACTAACCCCTAGGCCCCCAGGGAGGCCCCTGTAGACGTTATTTTAGCTAATATTCATATGCAGGAATTACCAATTGCTAGCATACTGGTTACTAAAGTCATTTCAGGTCAATGGTTTCAATATGATACAATACTTAGTAAATGGAAGACAAGTATCAGAACTATTCAAAAGCAAGAGAGTAGGTAAATTTATCTACATTGGTAATTCTTCAAAGATGAAACACTCCTAGTGGAGCTTGAGACTGAGAAGTCACTTTGAACTTGGATGTAAATAATGAAAATCACTTTACAAAAGCAATTCAATGAGGAAATGTTTAAGCCAATTTAATTAATTATCTACAAGTGATGTCCTTGGGCCTGAAGGTTCCTACTTCTTTGGTTTACAAAAGAACCCCCCATATACTATTTGCTATATTTGCAACTGAACAAAATTGGGGCTGAAATAGAAAAATAACCTCTTGGATATGTTGAGGTAGTACTGCAAATGAAAGAATAGATGTGTTAAATGCAGTGATCTGCATACATTACAAACATAATGCTTTGAAAACTAGAAGAAACTTATTAAAGCATTCTAGACCTGAGATCTATATGTCTCAGTGTATTATTTATGGTTGTAGGATCCTAGACTATTAACTAAATGTACTGAGGTATCTGGATAGTTATTGAGGTGATTTAGATGTTCCTTTTTCTTTTCTGAAACTTGAACAATTCTGAGAAGCCGTCAAGTATTGCGTATAATTTCAAGACAAATCAGGTTCTTGTCATGGCATCAAATAAGATCCATAGGGATTTGAAAATCAACTGATACCAGGGACAGAAGTTTTGGCTATATATCAATATCAGAAATGGAGACAATCCAATTTAACATGGAATAAAAATGTTTAAAAATGGGAACTAAGTTCATGCCTTATTTATGGATGCTGCACACTGGAGAAGAAATGGCTTCAGTTTTACTAAATTGCTATATATCAGTTACTTTATATCTGTTACCTCTACCTGTCAAAGCAACTTGAAAGGTAGATATGAGCTTTGTGTTTTTTAGACACCAAGGCTCAGAAAGGCTAAGTCACTCCACTGAAGTCATGCAGGTAATAAATACAGTGGAAATGAAAAAACAGATGTGTCCTAAAACCACATGGCAAGCAGCTTCCATTCTTTCATACAGTTTTCCATTCAAGTCTAGAGCATAAGTGGACCTAATAAGTATAAATAGGTCAGATTTGCATGAGGATCAGTGATTTCAGAGATAAAGGGCCAGAGGTGATGGCCCGGATAATGACTGATGCTTTATTATCTTCACAGTGATTCTTACAGTGTAGTTCCAAAGGAGCAAAATCCTCATCACCAAAGAACTTGTTAGAAATGCTAAATTTTGGTCAGTTAGGAACAAATGTGTCTTTTAAAGACCTCCAGATGATACAGGCTAAGATTTGAAATCCACAGTTCTTAATACTTTACTAGAGGGTAAATGCTTCCCTAAAATTCATACCCTTATCATAGAAGTGCCCTATTAATATGGGCTTAAATAACTACTGCTGAGTGAATGGATATTTTAACAGGGGAAATAATACACAAACCACTCTAATCTATGGAACTTCTTTCTCAGAAAGTACTCAGTAAGTGAAACTACTATAATATCACTTAAGGGAATAGCTAAAGAGATGTTGGAAAACAGTTTTATTCAAAATAGAGTAGAATTTTAAGCAATTAAGTATGTCCCAATGAACTCAGACTTTCACAACTGTTAAAAGAGTTGTTTTTGCAAGCTTTAATCATGAAGTCTGAAGGATCTTGCTAGGATTTTACTAAATTATATTTTCAGGTTATAGTTCCTGTACTATCTTTGGCTCTAGCTGAAACAGCCATGCTGTTTTACTCTATGCATTTTACCTGTAATTCTTTAACCTCTCTCCATCCTCCCTTTGTCACCCTCCCCCCCAATTCTCCTCTTAATTTCTCCAGAAAATGGGTTCCTCTGGATAACTTATGACCTCTCCTTTGAATCCTCCTCCTACTTCTCCCAGTCTTCCTCATAGTAAACAATTTCAACCGCCCAAACCAAAAGTTTGTAGTAATCCGGAACTTGGTTATCAATTCCTCTGCATTTAACTGAAGCCACCCATTTCCCTCATATTATGCAGGTACAAAAATTGCCTAAATAGGATTGCTGTCTGTCTCTACCCTTGTCCTTTTTCAGTCTGCTCTTCATACCAGTAGCGAAAATGATTCTTTAATCATTGAAGCAAATCAGATCATGCCATTCCTCAGTATAAAATCCTCTAGTGGCTTTCCAACTCATTCAACAAATATTTATTTCATACCTATTATGCACCAGGCTCTGTAATAGGGAATGAAAAAAAAAAATCTCAGGCTTACAGAGCTCACATTTTACTAGAGGGCAATAAACACAGTATAGGAGCTATGATGAAAGGTGGGTAGAAAGGTATCAGGAAGCCATGGAATCAATGGTAGTGATTTAAACAGGACAATGAGAGAAGGCCTCCTTGATAAAGTAAGTTTTCTCTCTACCTGAATGAAATAGGGGCAAGATAGCCATTCACATATCTAAAGGAAGAATATGCCAAGCAAAATAGCAAGGGCAGAGGCTCAGAGATCTCCATGGTAAGTTTAAGGAATAAACAGCATGGGAACCATTATGAGCAGTCTGGAATAAGAAATCGAAAGTAACAGAAAATGAAGATAGGTGAAAAATAAAAATCAAAGTCTTTATGAATAAGTTTGTAAGATTCTAGAACTGTACTATCTAGTACATTAGCTACTAACCACACATGGTTATTATGTAAAAAAATATATAAAATTAAAAAATTTTTAAAAAATAATTAAAATTCAGGGGGCCACCCTGGTGGCACAGGAGTTAAAGAGACAGCACTATCAAGCTATCACCAAGCATGGCAGCACAAGTTAGATCCCTGGCTGGCCAGGGAGCAACCCACATGGCACAGCAGACCCCTCCTATCTCACTGGCTTCTCCCCTCAGCAGTATACTTCAGTAGTTCTGCCTGTTCTGTTCCCCATTATCTCTGGTGAATCCTCTCACCGCCCCCCCTCAACACCTCTGGTCTACACCCAGTTCTTGTATGCATAAATAAATCTTAAAAAAAAAAAACAATTAAAATTCAAATAAAATTTAAAATTCAGTTTCTCAGTATACCAGCCACATCCTAAGAATGCAAAACCCACCTGAATTGGGAAGCACGGATATTATTTTCATCATCTCAGAAGGCACTTATGGACAGGTGGCTCTGTTAGTGGTTCCTATCTAAGGGTGAATTACTTCTAGAAACTTGGCAAATTGTAGCTATTTTTGGTAGTCACAACGGTATCAACAAAGTGTAGAAGATGCTACTGACATCTAGTGGGTACAGGGTAGGGATGTTGCTAATGCATAAAAAAGAATTATCCAGTTCATAATGTCAAAAAGTGTCACTGTTCGTAAACCCTGTTGTATCTCAATCTTGACTGCAACTCTAACCTCATTACTTCCTTCTTACTAGCCTCCTTGCCCTCCTTCCTATTTTCCAAACACTACTTTTCTGTAGAACCTCTATTGTCTCTTAGGACAGTCTTCTGTGGTTCACTTTCTCACTTTCTTCTAGTCTTTCCTTCAATGTCACTTAGAAAAGCCTTTCTTGACAGCCTCTATAAAATGGCAATATCCTCTCCACCTTCCTATTTTCTCCAGCATTTCCTGGCATAGTATATAGCTTTTTTATGTTTATTGTAACTGTTTCCTTCCACTAAGCACCAAAGGATTGACATTTCTTCTCAACACAGAGAACAGTAACTGGCAAGTAGCTTGTTGATCAATAAATACATATTTAAAATATAAAAGAGAAAGTTGAGCATTCCTTCCATGTAGTCCCACACCTGAATTATGAGCACTTACCTGTCATGGCTACTTGCAACATTCCCAAGAGTTCCCTGAAGGAGATTCTGTGTCATTTCTCAGGATCTTCAACACCTAGCATAGTAGGCATAGATTAATAATGTTTAATGAAAAAAGATCTGGTATCTGTTGAGTAAATGATATACCCCAAGTAACATCCACTGAAAAACTGGTTCAACGATATTATGGAAGCCTTGTTTTAAAGGTATTTACAGTGTATTTTATGACTGATATTTAGCTGTAATATCTTTTTAATCAGCGGACGTGTACATTTCAGTTACTCAACGGCAATACCCTCATTAAGTTTTAACACATCTAAAACTTGGCCCAAAAAATGGAGACAGACGCAAGTGACAAGTCTGATTGCACAGCAGGCTTAATCTAGCAGAATAGCCATTTCCCTGGCGGGAATGTGTATTGCTCCACTCAGATCGAGCTCTAAGCTCCAGAACTTTTGGCCCCACCCACTCACCACCCCGCCCTTCCGAGGTTGGTGTCGCTACTAGATTTACGAAATCCATTTCGAGATAGTAAACAGAGGAAGAGAAAGGCTAAAAATCTCCCCCACGGTCACAGTAGGTAAATGAAGCCGCAGAACCCTGGAAATCTGGCTTCCAGAGTCCCCAACTTTAATCTGCTCACAGTATCGCCTCGCCTAATGCCAAGGCGGCGAGGACCAGACGGGAAACATTTCGATTCCAGCTGGTTCGCGTCAGCACGGGCGTGGAGCGTATAGGTGATTTTCCCCCTTAACTTTATGTTCACCAAAGCCAAATTATTTCAGCCCAATATAATTTAAGGATACCGAACTACAAGTTCACCCAATTCAGAAGTGACCACTGAGGATGCTCGGGCACCTGGGGGCCGGGCCGCGGGAGGAGGTGGCGCCTCCACGGGCCCGCCCCGCGGCATCACGGGAGCTCGGCGTGCGTGGGGGCGAGGAGCGGCCGCCGCTTTTCCACGCACCTGCACTTGCGCAGTCCTCCCCTGCGCTGTTTTGAGGAAGGGATTCCTAAGGAGCTCAGGGCTTCGCTTACCGCCACCAGATCGCTTGCGGAAAGCCGATGTTTTCCACATAAACGCGGTGCTTCCCTAAAGGGAGATCCGTGGGATTCCGCCGCGTCCCGACTAGCTCGGAACGACAAGTCGGAGCCCCGCGTTTCCACAAGTTACCTCTTCGGCGACCACTTCCGCTCGGGGGGTCTGGAATACCCGAGGCCCTTTGGCGGCGCACTTCGGGAAAGGCACTTCCGGTGTCTGTTGCCTAGGCGCCAGCCCTGTGGGCCTGAAGGGGCGACGGTAGTGGCTTTGCCCTGACCCCCGTTCCTGGGGGTCGAGATGTCGGGGCTCAGCGTCACAGAAAAGAAGGGCTGTCAAAACCTGCTAAGCCTACTGGACAACGACGAGATCAAGGCCCTGTGCGACACCGTCACCAACCGCCTGGTGCAGCCTGAGGACCGCGAAGGTGAGGGTAAACGCGGGCGTCACCCGGGCCCCTGGCTGCGGGAGCCTGGGAGTGGAGCGGGGGGGGGGGGGGGGTCCGCGCCATCTGGGGCGGAACCCCTGGGAATCTGGGGCCACCGCCCGGCTCCAGGCCTTGAAGCTTCCCGCACAGCCTCCGGCGTCCCCCCAGCGCGTCGCCCCTGGGGGAGGTGAAGGTATTGAAAAGACCTGCCTTTAGGTTTCATTTCCTGAATGTTACGACCAAGATGCTTGTGTTTCGAAGATTCAGAATACGTGAATAATAACTTTTTCAAAGTTTCCGGATAGCCAGGGTATTTTCTTTTTTAAGTTTCGATTCCCAGAGGCTTGTCAGCCGCTTTTTTTTTTTTTTTCGTGCCAAGGAGAATAACAAACACGTATTCTAGGTGAAACAACGTACTGTGTAATAAAGAGCAGATAGTTTAAATCTCTGTCTGTTTTTACATTCACTTTTCTTTCCTGATATAATTTTGTGTAATAGGAACCCATTACTCTGAGCGTCAAATATTTCGGTAGATTTCAATGATTGTTAATACTTAGCTGGTGGTTAACTACAATAGTTTGTGTAAAAATGTATAATGAGCAGCTAAAGCATTTATGTCATTTTGTAAATTAGGTGGCTAATTTTTTTCTTATTTTAAACGTGCAACATTTTATATTATAATGTGAAAAATCCAGACACCCATGTTAGTATTTGACTTTAGTATCTACAAAAGGTTCTGCCTTCTAAAACGATATTTCTCTGCTTTTAAGTGTGAAATTTACATTTTTTTTTTTTTACCACTTAAGAAAAGCATTCATTTCAAACTTTGAAGCATGAGCATTAAAAAAGAACTTTCTAAAAATTTAGACCAAAAAAAATTATTTTTTAGCATTTGTTTTGCATGCTAATCACCTATTGATGAATGTGAATTTAAAATTCTGGTAAATAAAACTGCTTCTTTCAACTGATAGTAGATATAAAAGCAAAGAGAGAAACTCTGGTAGAAAAAAATTTAAATAATTTGAAGAGACAATAAGAATAAGAAAAGAGAGTCAGCCTCTTTAGAATAAACAGTGAAATGAAAATCAAAACCACAAGATATTTATGTACCAGATGAGCAAAAAACTACCAATATAAACTTCAAGTGTTAGTAATTATATGAAGTAACTGACAACTGTCTTAAGTTTAAAATTAAACTATCACTTTGGAAATCACATTTGACATTATCTCCTAAAATGAAAGATTTGATTATTCCTAGGCACATATTCTAGAACTGAGCTTCTCAAACTTTAATGTGCTCATGAATCCTTTAGAGATCTTATTAAAATTCACATTCTGATTCAGTGCTTTTAATATGGACCCATAAATTCAGTGTTCGCTCATGGTGTCTTCCCCGCTGTAAACTTCACATAATGCTCATGCTGTTTTCCTCTCTGAAGTAGGGGAATGATGGAAGTTAATAGTGTTTGTAATTGGATACATACAGTAAACTAAGATATAGGAATATATAGCTAAGATATAGGAATATCTCAGGAATAAGTGAACATTTGATTGTAGAAGGGTATATTGAACATTCAAATAATTAAAAAAAAAATACTCGGTTGTTTAGGGGTGTACTTAGACTTTTCAACAATGAAAAAATAACTTAGGTCCATTGGCATTGTTAGAGAAAAAAACTCCTTCCTCAGACTCAATTTTTTGTTCTTAAAAAGAAATGCTGAAATTTCAGTCTTATGAGAAGTGAAATAGAGGGTTTTTTTAAGTAAGGGAGTTTAAAACAAAAGGAATTTTTTTTTAAAGATTTAATTTTTATTTATACAATAGCTGGGGTACAGGCCAGAGGCACGGGAGGGAGAGAGGATTCACCAAAGACAGAGCGGGGAGCAGAACAGGCAGATGGACCTAAAGCACTGCTGAGGGGAGCAGCAGAAGCACAAGAGAGGTCTGCCGTGCCATGTGGGACTCTCCCTGGCCGGCTGGGAATCGAACCCTTGCTACAGAGGCTGAGAACAGCTATACAGCGCTTTGCTCAACCCGCTGCGCCACCACCTGGGAGGCCCTAGAGCAAAAGGAACTTTTAAAAAAAAGCCCAAACCTGAGATAACATGCTTCATGTTTTTTTAGCAATGTTCAGCTCATGCAAAAGCAGTAATGCCAGAGTCTGTACATATTATTTGATAGAATTTCTGCTGATGCTTAACAAATTTACAAGAAACTAATGATTTCCTGTTAATCTTTACAACTTTTTTCTAGATGCCATTCATGCAATAGTAGCATATAGTCAAAGTGCAGAAGAACTTTTGAAGCGCAGAAAAGTCCACCGAGAAGTCATATTTAAGTACTTGGCCACACAGGGGCTAATTATACCTCCGGCTACTGAAAAACACAATCTTATTCAACATGCAAAAGATTACTGGAAAAAGCAATTGCCACTGAAATTGAAGGAAACACCAGAGCCAGTGCAGACAAAGGACATTAGATTCTTTCAACAGGTAAAGTAGATCTTATAGTAATACTCTTAATGTAGAGCTTTCTGAAACTCTTGAAATAATCTTAATTTGGGTTAAGATGGTTAGTAATATTGTACTTTTTTTAAATAATTTTAGCTTTACATGGGATCCTTTGCATCCAGTAAAGCAATTAAAATATTTCTGACATTTATTGATATATGTGAAATAATCAATTGATTTGTGAGGAGAAAAAATGTCTTTATACCCTTATCAAATGAGGACTATTGGATTTTTAAAGAGAATGAATAAACTGCAGAATCATTTTAGTTCTCATCAAGCCTCCAGTTTTCTAATTTTTTTCCTTGGTAAAAGAAGGCAGCTCTAAGTCCTTTCTCATCTCGAAGACTTTCTTTGGTATTTAGTTGCAAAGATTTCATGGTAGAAATGTAAATATATTTTACATTTGGCTTTTTTTTTTAATTAGAAAAAAGCGGTTTAGTAATTCCTCTGACTAATGCTTGCTATTCCTATTTCTTTGTATCTCCACAGTACATTTTAAATAGTCTGAATATTTAAATATTGATTGAATAAATTCTAATTTGCAAGTTTTTGAACACCATATACTTTGAATTAATAAAGTTTTACAGTTTGAGTTACCCTTCATATTAGTAAAGAATCTTTTAAGAACTTCCTTAATGTACTGAAAAGAATGTTGACTTTGAAATCATACACATGTGATTTCAAATTAAGGTCTGATGTTTACGTATACATAAGCAAGTACTTTGATCTTTCTGAGTCTTATTTTCTTTACATATAAAGCATGCATAGAATCTTTATCATAAGGCATAGAAGAAAATAGCACCTCTGTACAGTGCCCACTATATTCAGTAACTAATGCTTAATAAATATAAGGTCTCTAAATGAGAGGTTATGATGTTCTGTTGTACATAGATGAATAAAATCTAACCTGTCAGGTTTCTTTTTGCATTAACATTTACCTTAAAAAAAAATGAAAGTATGAAAATTTTAGAAGATAATCTATTTCAGTCATGTTAAAAGTATCTGTTTAAAGACTTTGATTTATTATCAACATTATTGTGGTATAATTTACATGCAACCAAGTGTGCCATTTGAAGCATACATTTTGGTGGTTTTGATTTTCAAGCAAGAGAAAATGTTTATATAAATCATTATTCTCTGTTCATATTGACTATTAAGAGGCTTTGTTGAGCCTTAACTTTTTTTTTACTGAGCTTTCAGATGTTTAAGCTGGGAAATTTAAAGTGATTTTTCCCTTTTTGAGAAAAGAAATCACTATGCATGGTGGGCTCCATGAATTCATATGCTTGCATTTCCCTCTATTATAATCAACACATTAAAACTTAGCTCTAAAATAGAACAAACTGAAAGTAGATATGATAGTTAACCAGGTTTTGTTTTATGTTTATTATATATTTTTCATGTAGGAGGAAAAAGAAGATAAGAAAGCTGAAAAAGTTGATTTTCGTCGATTAGGAGAAGAATTCTGTCATTGGTTCTTTGAACTTCTTAATTCTCAGAATCCTTTTCTGGGACCACCTCAAGATGAATGGGGGCCACAGCACTTCTGGCATGATGTCAAGCTTAAGTTTTATTACAACACATCTGAAGAGAATACGATTGACTACCATGGAGCAGAAATGGTGAGCCTTCGGCTGTTGTCATTAGTGAAAGAAGAATACCTTTTTCTCAGTCCAAACCTAGATGCCTGTGGACTAAAGTGTGCTTCTTCCCCCCATGGTCTAGTTATGGTTGGAGTTGCTGGTACTGTTCACCGAGGAAACACTTGTTTGGGCGTTTTTGAACAAATTTTTGGACTCATCCGCTGCCCTTTTTTGGCGAATACCTGGAAAATCAAATTTATCAACCTGAGGATTATTGGAGAGAGGTCCCTTGCTCCTGGAACATTAACAAAACCAGCTATTCCATTTGAACCCTGTGAAGTGGAGTCCTTTTATAATGTAGTCACTGTATGTGGAACCGTGGAAATACGACTTAATGTAAGGCAGGCCTTGAATAGTGGAAATGGAGACCAGCCTTTATGTGGTGGAAATGAGGCCTTTTTGAACAAAAAGGAACTGAACTTACCTGATCCTTTAAAGCGATGAGCACTGTTTGTCAGTCTAAAAAAATCTATACACAAACTCTTCCAAATACTACATCAGTAATACCTAAGTGATTTCAGATGTGAGGATTGATATATTTTAGTTGAAATCTTTCTTGACTACAGACTTACATGAGAATACTTGCTTATTTCTACCTACGTTACAGCAGGTGTTCTAAATGCTTACTGCAGTTCATCAAACAAATTCCACTTTAGATGTTATAATTAATGGTGTGCCTTAGAAACCAGGTAATAATTTGGTGAATATTCTGCCAAAATCTGTATTTCTCACATGGGAAAGGATGACTAGTTTTGAGGGCATTTCCTTTTTTAAGTATTTACTTTAAATCTAGATAATTGTATGAATGCATCTTATGACAGTATTGTTCAAAAATTACATAGTATACATGTTTAATGTAAAACTCAAATTACCCAACATAGGACATCATTCAACTTGAATGACATTCTTACGCAAAAGCAGGTGGAGAAAAATTTACTTTGCCTTTTCTTAATATCTCAGAAATAATTTTAAAGCTGCCTACTGTAGTCCAAGAGAAATATGTTATAATCTGCAACATTTTCTTAACTACTTTGGGCAGTGATAAATATTGTTCTCAAAACAGACCTTATTCCTATCTAAGGCTTCAGCGAACAGCTTTATAGAGCTGTTTTTTGTAACATAAAGGAAACTTGCTGTTCAGTTTTTTTAAGTGTGACTAGTTCCTCACTTTGAAGTGAATTACTCTTTTACTTCTTGATTGATCTTGGAAGAGGTGACCAGAATGTGGGCATGTGTAGATACACATATATATCATCATAGTCCCACATCATAAATAAAATGGTTAGAATTTTGCACCTCTAATTTGTCTTAATTGGTTTGAGTTAACAAGGTTAAGTTGCCAGGTTAATTACATAGCTGCTTTAAATTTCTCATCACCCAGCAACAAATTGCCAAGCCTGATTCAATTAGTAATTTTAAAGTACAAAAAATGCCATTTGGAAAAAAATTCAACCAGAAAATGTTGTGATGATATATCGTACATGGTAATTTTTTACCTTTAACTCTGCTCATGATCATTCAGGGTTAATGATACAAATTTTGGAAACAGGAGGGAAGAACTCATCTTTTTTGTTTTTTTAATACTATGCCTCTTATGAGGAGTACAAATTGATATGTCCTAAAATAAGAACTTAATAAAGGAAGGAAATACCTTTTGTCTACTCTAAAAACAGTGTATTATTTAGATTTAAAGCCAAGTTACCTTTTCCTTTGAGTTACGAAATTTCATTATAACATATATAAATACCTTAGAGTATGAAATTAAAAACACTTCCCATCTATTTTTGTTGTGCTATTGATGTCAAGTGCTGCAGAAATATTACTGCAGATTCCCAGGATACATAGGGATTTCCTCTGGCTATCTTCAGTATTGAATTTTTTATTTTGTGTAATGCTCAAGATGGCAAATCTGTGTGTTCTTTCAGTCATCCTTAAAAATTGAAATTTTCCTGATATCTATTGAGGATTGGAACTGTGTTGTATTTTGAATCCCCACAGCTGGACACACAGTAGGACCTAATTTAAGGGAACAGGTGAAGGAATGACCAGGAAAGTATAAAAGATTTTGTCTTTAGTTCTCATCAGTGATTGTTTTGATCATATTGTCTGTTTGCATTTCATGTGTGAGTACACAGAACCTTTCAGGTCCCAAACTAAACCAGATTTGGGGAAAATATTTTCATTTAAAATTAGCTGAATTTTAAAAGCCAAGGTCAGGGTGGGATATCCTGGAGGGCACTAAGACTACCAAGAAGCCGTTACAAGGGAAGTATAGGAAGAAACACTGTTCTGAGAAAGAAAATACTGGAGAAATTGAAATTTGTATATGAAGTTTAAAGTGTGATTAAGCCTTTGAGGTCAAAAAGCATAATGCAATTAAACTTTTAACTACCACCCATTATTCTATTTATATTATGGAATGGCAGACTCCAGTTTTAAGACTTTGCTGCTTCCTTACATTTAGTTGGTATTTGGAAAACCTGTGGGGTCAAGTAGTAAAGAATACAGCATTCTGTACACATAATTCATAGTAATTGGGTGTTCAAACCCGAGTGGTATCTGGATTTTACTTACTGTAGGCAGTTGCCTTTTTCTAATAGGGTATAAGTCACAAAATTATTTAGAATGCCAATAAAAAGCATTTCATGTCTCATATTAACAAAATATTTAATAATAATAATTTTAAAAAGGCCATCCAATTTATTAAATCAATTTGGAAATGGCAAACACAGGTCAGGAAACTTCCTGGATTTTAAGAAAGATAAAATGTTATGCTAAGGAAGACTACCTAGTTCCAAGAGGAAATTATAACACCAGGAAAATATTTAAAGAACAGTTGTTTAAAGAAAAGTGAGATAATGGCTCTTATGGCTAAGTAGATCATAAAAGTGAAAATCACGCCTTGAAACTTTCTTGGCATCTGTTTTTACTAATTTAAAAGCTCTTCACTGTTCCTTAATTTGATTTTTTTTTTTTAAAGATTTATTTTATCTATGCATACAAGAACTGGGGTACAGGCCAGTGATGTGGGGGGTGAGAGCATTCACTAGAGAGAGTGGGGAGCAGAACAGGCAGATCCACTGAAATACACTGCTGAGGGGAGCAGTGGGCAAGACGGGGGAGGTCTGCTCCATGTGGGTTGCTCCCTAGCTGATCGGGGATGGAACCCGTGCTGCAGGGGCTGCCACAGGGGCTGCTGCAGGGGCTGCTGCAGGGGCTGCCAATTTCTTGATAGCGCTGTCTTTAACCCCTGTGCCACCAGGGAAGCCCTGATTATTGAATTTTGAAAAAAGAATTATTTGTCCCTAGAAAAAATGTTTGGATGTAGTATTATAATTGTTGCACTTCCCTAGATCACACCTGCGAATCCTATAGATATCCTTATTTCATGTTAAAGTCCTGCCAGAATAGTTATGTTACCCCCAGACTACTCTTGTTACTACATTCAAAAATAATTTTTAGAAAAATTTGTCCCCTTGTACCTAAAGTAGAGGACTAAATCTTTCTTATGAACGAAAGTATTTGTGTATAATAGTTGTTAACTTGTGAATTTTGTTTTTCAAAAGATGACAGATCAAGACTATTGAGATATTGTCATTTAAAACAAATATTCAGAATTCATTTTATTTTGGCAAGATAAATTTAATGAACAATGAACATGCTTTGGAGAAATTGAAACTCTGAAAAAATATTTTAAATGATGTTCTCTAGACCTTTACAAAAACTCTACCCTATGAAAATATTTATTTAGGAGTAATTGTATATTGCTAACTCTGAGTTTAGAATTTTAAAAATACAAACATTTCCTCTAAATAGCCTACGTATGTCAATCTTCCTCTTCCCACTACTCTCACCTCCCACCCTCTGTACCCTATTTATTACCTTTGTCTATAGCCACTTTGAATGCAGATAGAACAGCAGCACTTCTAAGAAACAAGGCTTTAGGGATCTGTATTCTCTTCAATTTATTTGCCATGTATTTAGTGAGCACCTGCAATTTATAAGTCACTGAATTAAGCATTAGATAAAAATAATACATCAATAGGTTATTTAACTAAATTTATGTTGAAGTCAAATCTCAATCTGGGTTTAGAGTTTTAAAGAAATTATATCAGAACTGTATCAATGTGCTAAATCCATTTACCTTTATTTTACTTTAAATGTTTCCTATAGTCTTTCAGTAAAGCATTCATATTAAAATTGAGTGTGGATATTTACTGTTATAATGTTCTTCAAAATATTAAACCAGAAACGTCAGAGTTGGTTGTATTACACATAAAATGTTAAGAGAATCACCGGCTTAGAATTCGGTACTTTTAATTTTCTGTTTCCAGTACTGCCACATTTCGTTGTTTTTTTGCAGTGAGCCATTTAGTGACTATTCTTTGGTTTTCATCTTTGTTTTGGATATCTGAAATCTCAAGTATGAAATTAGTTACATTTGAATTATTGAGTGTAAGGATTGAAGGAATGCCCTGTTGCCTACTACCAACTGTGTGTTACATGTCTGACTTAATATTTTTCTGAGCAAAAAGTAGAATCTATAACTGCTTAGAAAAGCCTTTTTCCTGAATCATTTAGTTTCATAAATTTTTATTAATCATTTCATCTCTACTAATTATACCTGCTCAGTTACTCATTTAGTAATTTAATACCACTTGGAAAAAATATATAGTGTTCAGGTTTAACAGTATTACTTATGAAAAAGAATAAAGATTTGGGTAATATATAAATATATGTAATAACTTATATCAAATTATTTCACTGGGTCACCTTAATCTGTATTCCTTTCCTGATCATAGATACCAATGTGCTTTCAACTTCAGAAATAGTCTTAGTTTTAAAACATTCAGTTTCTGCTACATTAGGATGTAGTATATCTGTAGTATCATACTCAGTTTCACCTGCTACTGTAATGAGACCTTTTTTACCTAACTTTTGTCTTTTTTTATTATTTAATATTTCTCACATTTGTGAGAAATTAGAGTTTTCTTAAAATACAACTTTGATCATACTGTCCATGCTCAGAATTTTCAGTGTGGTGCATTGCTTCCCAAATAAAGTCCAGATTTCATAATCACTTCATCACCACTTGGATGATGACTACAGGTGTTTTTTGCATTATTTGACCTAGCCGACATCTGTTAAGTAGTATTTATCCTGTGCTTAATCAGCCCCCTGCTTTTTATCAGCAGTTACTCAAAATTGAAGAGTTCATTTTTTGTTGTTGCAGACAGCCTGGTGCTATAGAAAAAAAATAACCTACAGTTGAAATGGAATAACGAAATTATTTTTTTTCTCTTTAGTATTTTTTTAGTATTTTTCTCTTTAGTATTTTTTTCTCTTTAGGAATTTTGTGTATGTAACCTGTCTAGGATAGTCTTTTCCCAACCCTTTGCCTGGCTCCTTCATTTTCATCTTTGAAGATTTGACTTAAATGTTTTCTCCTTTCTAGTGGACCCTCTTGTATTTGTCAGAGCACACTGTTTCAGTCTGAGCACCTTAGTTATTATTAATTTATTAGTCTTCCCCAATAGATTTAAGCTGAGCGCAGGGACTATAACTTTCACTTTCATCACTTTCACTTTCCATCGCTATACATAGACTTGGTGGGTATTTGGTAGATTGCTGTTTACTAAAGATAGAAGCAAGGCAACAAATGGTAACGTTTATTAAGAGCCTCATGTAATGCCTATCTACTAAAGACAATGTCTAGCATACATATTGTTTAATGAATAAAGCCAAATTAATCTTCCTGAATAATGTTATATGAGCTCTATCTAATACTCTGGTAGATGGAATTACTAAAGTTTTATGCTTTTGTAAAAGGTAAAAAAACTGAGCCCCCAATGTTAGGTAACTGCTTGAAGTTCACCCAGTTTTGTTGTGGGTTTTTTTCCTCTGACTTTTGGGCTTTATTTTTCATTTTTAACTGAATTTAAAGCTTACTTTTTTTTTTTTCTTGCACCTTATTTCCATTCTGATTATTGCTGCTATCTTATTTTGGAAGAATGTAAACTCTAATCCTATTCTAATGAAATTCACATGAAAAAATGACTACTTAAGAGATTTCTAAAGTACTCCATTTCTGAAGTTAATGATTTTGTGATTATTTGCAGCCTCAGCAACTCAAAAACATTGCTAGTAAAGGAATTTATAGTTTGTGTTAATTTAAGTCGTTACGATTTTACTTCCTCATACAATTTTTGGAAAACACTTCATTGTGTTTTCAAACAAATATACATGTTTAAATATATGTATGTTGAATATTTCTTATTTATGGGGGGGAGGATGAAAATATACTTAATATCTAGATTAGAAAAGGGGGTAAAGTATAAAGTCTTTAAGATATTTTCACATCACTAGAGATTCTGAAGCTGTTTGTCACTGCTTGTTCTATGAAACCTTGTTTGTTGCCTATGTTCAAAATATGTTTCCATGTTTTAGTTAAGAAAAGTGCAAAGTGGTCAGCAGAAGGCCATATTATATTAATAGATTGTCAGTGATCCTGCTAAAAACAAAGATATGAATAAAATAATCAAATGTAGGTGATTCCCAAAGTTGACTATGTAATATGTGTTGGCAAATATTTGAGTGACATTGGAGACAAGTGGCAGATTTGGGATAGGATTTTCCTGTAGGTGCAAGGCCCTGAATGTGTGCTGCTCACAGGTATTGAAAGTTACTCCATGAAGTTAATGGAAAGCATTTATTTAACAAAGATCTGAGGTTTTGCTGTACTGACTACTGGTTTTGCTGTACTGCTGTACTGATAAGAGCAGTACAGCTTGATGATAGAATGAGCTTAGCGTACAAAACATGACAGGGATTTTAATGCTGGATCTATAGACTATAAATCATTGACCACCAATAGACTCCTAGGAATTAAGAGAAGTAGAATAAGCCACGAGTTTAATGCTGCGAGAGCAACTTTATGTTAAAAGAGTTTACAACTGAGGAAAAAGTTGATTTTAAATAATGTGTCAGTATCTTAAATTTTTTTGACTTGGTAAATGTTTATTGAGCACTTACTCTATGAACCAGGAATTTTAGTACATAAAGTAATTTTTCTATTTTTTATGCTTTTCTCACTTTAACTTGTATAAGGTACCTTTTACTGTTTAATAAAGAGTTTATTTTATTAGAAATTGCTTCTCTGTGATCTTTTATTGATGCCATTCTTTTTTTTTATTAAATAATAAATTTTATTTTTATATTCCCCCATACAATTGCAAACGCCCCATTCTGACCCTAATCCCTCCCCTCCCGCCCCCCACCCCCCAAAAAGTGTTTCTGGTTCATAGTTTTTTGTTGATTTTGATTTTCACTTTCTTATAGTTATTCATTTTCCTGGTCCCTTATTTAAGTTTTCTAGATTCCTGCTATGAGTGAGACCATCCGGTATTTTTCTTTTTCTTTTTGGCTTATTTCGCTGAGCATGATCCCTTCCAGCGCCATCCATGTTGCTGCAAATTGCATGTGTTTATCTTTTTTGAATGCTGAGTAATATTCCATGGTGTATATGTACCACATCTTCTTGATCTAGTCATCTATTTTTGGGCATTTGGGCTGTTTCCAAAGCTTAGCTATTGTAAATAGTGCTGCTATAAACATAGGGGTGCAGGTGCTCTTTGGAATTGATGTTTCTGTGTCCTTTGGGTAAATACCTAGGAGTGGAATTGCTGGATCCAATGGAAGCTCTATGTTTAGTAGGTCCAGAAATCTCCACACAGCTCTCCACAGTGGTTGGACCAGTTTGCACTCCCACCAACAGTGCAGAAGAGTTCCTTTTTCTCCACACCCTCGCCAACATTTGTTGTTGCTAGTTTTTTTAATATGTGCCATTCTCACTGGTGTGAGATGGTATCTCATGGTAGTTTTGATTTGCATTTCCCTGATGTTGAACAAGTGATGTTGAACATTTTTTCATATGTCTGTTGGCCATTTGCATTTCCTCTTCAGAAAAGTTTCTTTTTAGCTCTTCTGCCCATTTTTTGACAGGATTATTTTCTTTGTTGTTGCTGAGTCTCATCAGCTCTTTGCAGATTTTTGTGATCAGTCCTTTATCATTAGTGTTGGGTGCAAAAATGTTCTCCCAGTTGGTGGGGTTTCTCTTTGTTTTTGTTATTGTCTCTTTTGCTGTGCAGAAGCTCTTTAATTTGATGTAGTCCCAGCTGTTTATCTTTCTCTTCACTATCACTGCTTTGGGTGATGTGTCTGTAAAGATGTCTTTGATGTGCAAATCCCGTAGTGTTTCGCCTATATTTCCTTCTATGTATTTTATGGTTTCAGGTCTTATGTCTAGTTCTTTAATCCATTTTGAGTTGATTTTTGTGTATGGTGTGAGGTAGTGGTCAAGCTTCATTCTTTTGCATGTAGCGACCCAGTTTTCCCAGCACCATTTATTGAACAAACTTTCTTTGCTCCAATGCATAGTCTTTGCTCCTTTGTCAAAGTTTAGTTGACCATAAATCTGTGGGTTTATTTCTGGATTTTCTATTCGATTCCATTGGTCTGTATGTCTGTTCTTGTTCCAATACCATGCAGTTTTGATGATTATGGCTTTGTAGTATAGTTTGAAGTCTGGGAGTGTGATGCCTCCATTCCCTTCTTTCTTTTTCAGGAGAGCTTTGGCAATTCGGGGTTTTTTGTGATTCCATATGAATTTCATCAATAATTGTTCTATTTCTTTGAAGAATGACATTGAAATTTTGATTGGAATAGCATTGAATCTGTATATTGCTTTTGGTAGGATGGCCATTTTAATAATGTTTATTCTTCCAATCCATGAGCAGGGGATGTCTTTCCATTTCTTTGTGTCTTCTTCTATTTCTTTTAACAGTGTTTTATAGTTTTCTTTGTATAGGTCCTTTACCTCTTTTGTTAGATTTATTCCCAACTATTTGATTTTTTTTGTTTCAATAATAAAAGGGATGGTTTTTTTGATTTCTTCTTCTTCAGATTTATTGTTTGTGTATAGGAAGGCTACTGACTTTTGCATGTTGATTTTGTATCCTGCCACTTTACTGAACTGATTGATGAGTTGAATTAGTTTTTCTGTGGAGTTTTTGGGGTTCTCTATGTATATTATCATATCATCTGCAAATAGTGATAGTTTGACTTCTTCTTTTCCTATTTGGATTCCTTATATGTCTTTCTCTTGTCTTATTGCTCTGGCTAGGACTTCCAGTATTATATTGAAAAGCAGTGGTGAGAGTGGACATCCTTGTCTTGTTCCAGATCTTAATGGAATTGCTTTCAGCTTTTCACCATTGAGAATGATACTGGCTGTTGGCTTGTCATAGATGGCCTTTATGATGTTGAGGTATGTTCCTTGTATCCCAAGAATTTCAAGGGCTTTTATCATGAATGGGTGTTGCACTTTGTCGAAAGCTTTCTCAGCATCTATTGATATTATCATATGGTTTTTATATTTCTTTTTGTTGATGTGTTGGATAACGTTGATTGATTTTCTGATGTTAAACCATCCTTGTGTCCCTGGAATGAATCCAACTTGGTCGTGGTGAATTATCTTATGGATACATTGTTGGATTCTGATAGCTAAAATTTTATTGAGGATTTTTGCGTCAGTGTTCATTAGGGAGATTGGCCTGTAGTTTTCCTTTTTTGTGTTGTCCTTATTCGGTTTTGGTATTAGTGTAATATTGGCTTCATAGAACGTGTTTGGTATTGTCCCTTCTTAATTTTTTGGAAGAGTTTGTGAAGGATAGGCACTAATTCGTCTCTGAATGTTTGGTAGAATTCATTTGTAAACCCATCAGGTCCTGGGCTTTTGTTTTTGGGGAGGTTTTTGATTACCATTTCAATTTCGTTGCTTGTAATTGGTCTGTTTAGGTGTTCTATTTCTTCTTTATCTAGCTTTGGGTGATTGTAGAGTTGTAGGAATTTGTCCATCTCCTCTAGATTGTTGAACTTTTTTCCATATAACTGTTCATAGTAGTTACTGATTATTCTTTTGATTTCTGCTGTGTCCGTTGTGATTTCCCCTCTTTCATTTATGATCCTGTTTATTTGTGCTTTCTCCCTTTTTTCCTTTGTGAGCCTGGCTAGGGGTTTGTCTATTTTATTGATTTTTTCAAAGAACCAGCTCTTGGTTTCATTGATCTTTTGGATTGTTTTTTTAGTATCAATTTCATTTATTTCTGCTTTGGTTTTTATTATTTCTTTTCTTCTACTGGTTTTGGGGTTTTTTTGTTGTTCTTTTTCTAGATCTTTGAGCTTTGAGATTAGGTTGTTTCTTTGAGTTCTTTCTTGTTTTTTGATGTGAGCTTCTATTGCTATATATTTTCCTCTTATTACTGCTTTTGCTGCATCCCATACATTTAGGATATTGGTGTCCTCCTTGTCATTCAATTCAAAGAATTTTTTAATTTCTTCTTTGATCTCCTCGTTAGTCCAGTGGTCTTCCAGTAGTGTGGTTTTTAATCTCCATGAGGTAGAATAGTTCCTTGCCTTCTTTTTATGGTTTATTTCTAGTTTGATGCCTTCGTGGTCAGAAAAGATGGTTGGTATGATTTCAATCTTGGTGTATCTGTTGATGTTTGTCTTGTGCCCCAGTATGTGATCGATCCTGGAGAATGATCCATGTGCGCTTGAGAAAAATGTGTACTCCGTTTTTTTTGGGTTCAGTGTTCTATAGATGTCTGTTAAGCCCAAATGCTCTAGGTCCTTATTTAGAGCTTTAGTTTCTTTACTTATTTTTTGTCTTGTTGATCTATCCATTGTTGATAGTGGTGTGTTGAAGTCTCCCACTACGTATGTGTTTTCTCTGATGTCTGTTTTCAGAGAGGACAACAGTTGTCTGATATATTTTGGTGCTCCTTCGTTTGGTGAGTATATGTTAATGAGTGTTATTTCTTCTTGAAGTATTGTCCCCTTGATCATAATGTAGTGACCATTGGGGTCTCTTTATTTTTTTGAGTTTGAAGTCTGTTTTATCTGATATAAGTATAGCTGTTCCTGCTTTCTTTTTTGGTCCATTTGCTTGTAGGATTGTTTTCCATCCTTTAACTTTGAGCCTATTTTTATCTTTTGTAGCTAAATGTGTTTCCTGGAGACAGCAAAAGGTTGGGTTTTGTTTCTTAATCCAGGCTGCAACTCTGTCTTTTTATTGAAGAGTTTAGTCCATTTAGAGTTAATATTGATATGTTAGCATCTGTATTTGCCATTGTTTGTCTTTCCTTTGATTTTATTTATTTATTCTTTTAATAACTTTTTTTTTTTTTTGGTCTTCTTTCGTTGTTATTCGTCCCTCTGAGGTTCTGGCTTTAGGACTCCTTGTAGTTTTTTTTGGAGTGGGGGTTTAGCTGTAATGAAATTCCGGAGTTTCTGTTTGTCTGGGAAGGTCCATATTCTTTCTTCAAAGAGGAAGGAGAGCTTTGTGGGATAGAGTATTCTTGGTTGGCATCTGTTTTCTTGGAGTCTGTTGACTATGTCCCTCCACTCTCTCCTTGCCCGTAGTGTTTCTTCAGAGAAGTCTGATGTCAGCCTGATTGGTTTTCCTTTGAATGTTATCTGTTTCTTCCCTCTTGTCAGCTTCATTATTTTTTCCTTGTCCTGGATTCTTGGGAGTTTTACTATTATATGTCTTGCTGTATTTTTCCTTTCGTCGTGGAAGTTTGGTGTTCTTCTTGCTTCTTGTATATCAATTTTCAGCTCCTTCTTCGCATTTGGGAAGTTCTCTTCAATTATCTCCTGGAATATTTTCTCTGTTCCTACATCTCTCTCCTCTCCTTCTGGTATTCCTATAACTCTTATATTTCCTTTCCTCATGGAGTCAGATAGTTCCCGAAGTCTTTCTTCATTCTTTTTCCTTCGTACTTCTCTTTCCTTTTCTGTTTTGGTTCTTTTTATTTCTGTGTCTTCAAGAGTACTTATTCGTTCTTCCATTTCATCTATTCTGCTTTCATTGCTTTTCCCAGAGTTCTTTAGTTCCTCCATTAATTCTTTGATCTCCTGCATTTCTTTTACTTCCCTCTTTAGGGACTCAATTTCATTCTTCTGACCATTGTTTTCCCTCTTTAGGGACTCAATTTCCTTCTTCTGATCATTGTTTTCCTTTATGACTTCTATCACTTTTTTAATC